AAGACGTGTGATGTGTGTGTGTGTTAATAAAAAATTAAAGAATGTTAGAGTGATGTTGGATTGAAAATAAGTGGCTTCTAGGTATACAGGCTTTAAAGTTATATATAGATCAAGATTAAGGATTAGGATTTAAAAAAAAAGTTAAAGGAAATGGAAATTTGGTTTTTAAGAGGTAAAAATTTAATGTTATATTATATTAAGATTAAGGATTGGGATTTAAAAAGAGGGAAAGAAACTGCTGGACAAACAAATTGAACTGGAATACAAAAGAGGGAGGTACGAGGAGGTCCAGAAAATAAGTAAATTTAAAAATGGTGATGAAAAGGTGGTATTGTTTTTAACTGTTTTCTTTTTTGTCTTTTTTGTGTGTGTGTTTTTTGGATTATGTATTGTGTATTTTTGAATTGTGTATTTTTCTTTTTCTTTTTAATTTTTTACTGATGTGTTCTTTTTATTGGAAACTTAATAAATATCATTTAAAAAATAATAAGAAGAAAAAAAATCCCCATACAAACATGCAAAGCATCAAGTGTAATTTAAATAATCTGACAGTGGACATACATATTTAAACTCAGACTTCTGGATGCTGTGAGAATATTTTCTCTGTTCCTGTAAAAGAGATATTCAGACCAGCATCCCTACTTACACCCACGCTAGATGCTCTTCAAAACAAACAAACAAACAAAACTCCTATCTCTGCCCTGGTGGATGTCTTTTTTCCATAAGCACCCAAGTGCTGTGAGGGGTTGTGTGTGAGGAAATTGCTGTCACCAGAAAAATACCGCGGCCACAGAGGTTTAGTAGCAGATACCAGGGGCTATCTACACAATACTCGAGTAGTAAGTTCCACCTCTTTCCATAATATTCTAGTGATAGAACAGCCTCTTTCCATATGAACATGAGATCATCTTCTGAGGCCCTCCTTCGTGTGTCACCTCCTCAAGAGGACTGGAGGGTGGCAACATGAGAACAGGCCTTCTCTGCAGTGGCTCCCCGTCTATGGAATGCTCTCCCCAGGGAAGTTTACCTAGCGCTTTCATTAAAAACCTTTAAGTGCCAGGCAAAAACATTCGCTTTTAACCAGGCCTTTGGTTGATCTGATCAACATCCCATACCATACCCTTGGGTATGTGGCTCTTTGGGGGGGAGGTATTATTGAGCTATGGCATATATATATATATATATATATATATATATATATATATATACTGCGATCTTTTTATGTGAACCACCCTGAGACCTCTGGGTATTAGGCGGTATATAATTTCAACAAATAATAAATAATTGAGTAAACTGGATGCTAGTGGGGGGTGATGAGAGCTGAAACCCACCCTTATCCCTGTCTAGATTTTCTCCCAGCCACAACAACAGCAACAGCAACAACCCAGCCATTCTGGGCGGCTTACAGCATATTTAAAAACAATCCTGGCAGTGGCGTAGCGTGGGTTGTCAGCACCCAGGGCAAGGCAAGTAATTTGCGCCCCCTAACCCGTGGATTTGCGCCCCCTAACCCTAACCCCCAGATGTTGTGCCCAGTGCGGCCGGCCCCCCCTGCACCCCCCACGCTACGCCACTGAATCCTGGAAATCCTGGAATTGAACCAGGGAGGAGGAAAACATAAAGCAAAAGAGCATGGGCAGCAAAGAGATTGAGATCTCAGTTCTCCCTGAAAGAATGAAAGAAATCCTCTTTCATTTTCATGGAAAAAATGGAGTTCACCAAGTTCCATTTTTAAATGTAGATTAAAAAAGGAAACTAGTTTGAAGCTATTTTCACAGTTGTGGCTTCATTAAATCTTTGCCACGTGGATTTGCCTATCATGGAATCCCTTCATGTAGCAGAGGATACTGGGAAATGTTCCAATGTAAACACTCCATTTTGAAGGAAGCTGGCCATTCTTGTTGGGTATCAACAATGCGAAGTCTGTGCCCTTGAGCAGAATGTGCACTCTGTTCCCCTTTCATTTTAAAATCAAACATATCGAAAAAGTACTCCGCCTAGATATGGACTAAGCCCCAGATGGTAGATGCATTATCTGATGTCAATTATGTGTGCTTATTTTATTTAGGGTATTTGCTTTCCAACCCATTACCAGAAACCTAACTGTATAGTGAATGGACTAATTGTGGGAATTTCAGGGAAATTGAAACATATTTCTCCTATCCATAACTACTCAACATATGGCAAGTGATTGAACTTTCATCCTTCCCCCTTCCCTGCCCCAACCCCCAACTACACCAAGATCTATATAAGAATCGAGGCAGCAGCTTCAGAGACAAACTTGCCCCTGCATAACGCGATATCCATCACCTCACAGGACGAAACTTGGGTAAGTTGGAGACAATCACAAACTCACTTCTGATGCTATGGCTACTGATTTATATTTTGTATTGGGGGCTCTCACTAGCATTAAACCCTATACCCACATATCTGTCCACATCCTTCTTCCATCAAAGTCTCATTCAGTTCTCGCAGGTAAGTAAGTATACATATACTATGTGGGTTGAGAAGTTGAGGAGAAGAAAGCAAGGGCATGGGTGTAGTAGAAGAAGAAGTAGAACACTCCCCAGTTTAAGCTCCCCACCCTCCATCACCACAGTTACTTATATTCCAGTTGAGCCAAGGAGGGGGAAATTACCGTATTTTTTGCTCTATAAGACTGACTTTTTCCCTCCTAAAAAGTAAGGGGGAATGTGTGTCCGTCTTATGGAGCGAATGCAGGCTGCGCAGCTATCCCAGAAGCCAGAACAGCAAGAGGAATCGCTTCTGGGATTCAGAAGATATTTTTTCTTGTTTTCTTCCTCCAAAAACTAGGTGCATCTTGTGGTCTGGTGTGTCTTATAGAGCGAAAAATATGGTAAATAGCACGAGGAGGCAAAGTGGAGGGAGGAGTTTAGCTCCCCTCAGTCATTCCCATTTTCTTCTAAAATCTAGACCTTGCCAAGCCCCAATTTTAAACATTCCTTCCTCCTTTCCACCTGCCTCTGACCTGACTAAGTTCCATATAAGAATTAAGGCAGCCAGCTTGGGAGACAGACTTGCCTGTAGAAAGAGGAATCCATCACCTCAACAGGACTGAACCTGGGTAAGTTGGAATTGAGGTTGGGGATGGAGAGAAATTCAGTTCAGTTTCCATTTAAAGACAAACTTATTGAATTTGCAGTATTTGAAACAATATGAGAGCTGAAACACAGCCATCCTTTGAAATTTGTTCCTCTTTGAATTTTTCAACACAGTTGAATTTCCCATTGAATTTCTCCAGCTGTGTAAGATCAGTAAAGAGGGGGGAGGGAAACACTCTGATAATTCCAGTGATTTTTATTCAGCGCATGCAAGGCCACCTCTGTCCTGCCTCTGCCCCTCCATATCTCCTTGTTTGGATGGATAATGCTAATGGGCTACCCCATACCAGCCAAACTAGCCATGCCATTTTCCAGCCAAACCCTCCTCTGCCAGAGGAGAGGCACCATCACCAAATAGTGCCTCAACCAATACAGGCGCAGAATTTTCCAATGTCCTATCCATCAAATTTAGGAGGCAACCAATCACAGGTTGAAACCACAGGAAATAAACACACACGACATCAAACTTTCTCAAACATGATTATTTGCTTTGCTAGATATGCAAAAAAAAGATGAGTTGATGGTGTGATTGAGAGCAATACTGTACATTACTATTCTGACAGGATGCTCTTACAGAGGAGGTGTGCTCTTCTCTCTCATAACCTATGGCTACAATAAGGGATGAAGTATTAATGGGGATTCCTATTTGTTTGCACTATATAAAATCTTAATTTACACAGTTACTACAGTTAAGGAAGCAATGGGACTAAAGCCCCCTGCATTTTACATTAAACTAGACACTGTTTCTGAGGCTGGTTTGGAAAGGGAGGAGGAGGATAGATGCTCAGAAGATAGGAATGACTAGGAGACTTTGAGAGGGAGAAGCATTTTTTAAAAAAGAAAGAGACCAATGCACTCAAATCCAGGGGAGATCGCCACTCCATCCAGATTGCTCAGATTACTGCCAAATAGATGAAGATTGTTTGAGAAAGAGAGGTGTGTGTGTTCAAATTACAACTCTTGCTGACATCCTGGAGTTTACATTAGGAGGGGGTGGGAAATCCAGAGACCTCAAAATATTGCTGGACTCCAACTCCCATCAGCCCCAGAAAGTATGTCTAATGGTTGAGAATGATGATAGTTCCAGTCCAACACCCTCTAAAAGGGCCACATGACATACCTCTGACATAAGGAATATGCAAAACCGTTTGTTTACGTGTAGCTGCCTGGACAATGCAGAAAGTAGATTGAAACAACCCTGATTTTGAATCATCACATTTGCTTGGGAGTAAATCGTTTTCCATATAGCAGGCACGTCCAACAGGTAGATTGTGATCTACCGGTAGCTCACTGGATGTCTGTGGTAGATCACTGGTAGATCAGTGGCTCCTTCCAAAGAAGCTCAACAACTTTGATCTAAACCCCCCAAAGGGGGGTAGATCATGGCCAGTTTTTAACTCTGTGAGTAGATTGCAGTTTCTTGGGAGTTGGCCGCCCCTGCCATACAGAAAACAGATACCAGAAAGCAAGCACTGTTGTTTTTCATCAATACTTAAGGTGCTTCCAGCTGAAGGGTTTTACAGTCACCTGCTCAATGGTCTCCAACCTTTCTCTATAAAGCTTTCTACATTTCAACAGCTCCACTTTTACAATTGACTCCACTTTTACCAGGCAAAGAATGGCAATTCCACATTTAAATTCCTAGTGTGGAAGTCCCATTAGTGTGTATGATTCACCAACCCTGACAATTTGAAACTTTAAATTCTTTCTTCTTCCTCCAATCTTCAAATAAAAGTTCAAATAAAAGATAATTGTTATTTTAAACAAAGAAAAATACTTTCCCCTCCCTTCAATCACCACCCTGGATCAATGACATTCCATGAATGCACCTCTTGAATTCATGGTACATTACTCTTTTCCAAAGGTAAACAAAGGAAGATGGGATTCGTCACCAAGTTCAGCCTTTACCTTCTTGGAATTCTGGTCTCCAGTTCTTTCCCAGGAGGTGAGCATTATACCAAATCACCCAGAAGTCTTACATAGGGCTAAGCAGTCACTAAAATGTACTCCTTAGATTTTGAATGGAGAGCAGCCCAGCTAATCCTATTGGGACAAAAGAGCAGGGTTTTAAAATATTCTGTGTTTTCCTCATGGGATCACCAATGATATAGCTAAAGAGCAAACTCTTAGTTCTTTTGGTCCTCTTTATTTTCTTCCTTCTTTCTCCATACAGCCAAGACCAGCTCATGTCCCAGGGACTGGATGCAAAACCAGGGCAACTGCTATGCTTATTTTGATTTTAAGATGTCATGGGAAGATGCTGAGGTAAGGCACATCCCTCTCCTACGAAAGCATAATGTTATGTGAAAGTACATGAGAAGCATCTTAGACTCAACAAAAGAGATTTGATTTGTTATAAGGTGAAGTAGTTTACCAACCCAGGAGAAGAAACAAGTCATCTGTGCATGAAAAGAACAATAATGTGCAGTTTTAGGAAAAGGCATGTGGGCTAAAAAAAGGGGGGGGGTCAGACATTGTTTGCCTCTGTAGAGATCATTTGGAATATGCAAACTTGGGCTTATTGAAGTGTTTGTTTTGACCCTCCACCTGTGCTCAACATGTATATTTGTGAATAGACTCAGATATTACAAGAGGCCACTTAGCTTCCTGTGACTTCCAAAGGGATTTGCCTGGCGAGTACCCGCCTCCCCCCCTTGGAAAATAAGACACAAGACACAGCGTTTAAGGTTAATGGGCGAAAAAGGCCACAACTTTATTGATTGCAGGAATTGAGCGGTATTGACTTAGGCATTGGTCCTATCGACAAACCGGCTTCAGCCTGGTTGCTTGAAGACCGGCAAGGGTTAACTGTCAGTAGGGGGCGTCCTGCTGATGTACATCAACTAGGAGCTCCCCCGGGGTCACCACTCGGGGGCGTGCCTTAGGCCCACACCTCCATAGGCTTCGGACAGGGCAACGCCCCCCGGAATCCTTTACCGGACTACCCTTCGATTTGGGGGAAGGTGATGGCGCTTCCTCCCCCCCCATCTGCATAACAATACCCTTACCAATGCCAAACCGCCAATGCCGAGGAAGTTGTGATGATTTGCTACGAGGTAGGCGAAAAACCAAATGGCTGGTGCCAATTTGCCAAGTGGAAAAAACTCCTTGACGGCGACCAACCGAAGTCCATAGCAATGTCGTAGAGCCAAACCTAAGGGTGGGCGGGGTGGGAAACCGGAGCAGCTGGAGCGAAGAAGAGACAGAAATCCTCAGCTTCGCCAGCCCTAAATAGCCCGGGCCACGCCTCCCTGACCAGCCGATTGGCTGGCCAGGGAGATGACACATCCGAGGATTCCCCCAGTCTCACAGGGGCTGTGAGTCAGCCCCCGCGCATGTGGGGAGGGTGTGGGGCCCGCAACCCCACCTCCTCTCCAGTTCGGAAGTGGCTTTACCAACCCAAGGTAAATGCTACACTCCTGCAAATCTTCATAGCTTTAGAGAACAGGTTGGTTTCAGCGGTTCTCAACCTGTGGGTCCCCAGATGTTGTTGTACTACAACTCCATAGCTGTCAACTTTTCCCTTTTCTTGCAAGGAATCCTGTTCGGAATAAGGGAATTTCCCTTTTAAAAAGGGAAACGTTGACAGCTATGTACAACTCCCATCATCCCTGAGCTCTGGCCTTGCTAGCCAGGGGTGATGGGAGTTGTAGTTCAACAACATCTGGGGACCCACAGGTTGAGAAAGGCTGGTTTACATCCTATAGTTTACTAGTGGGTTGTGTGGTCTGGAGTGTCAAAAAAAGAATGCAGCCAGATGGATGGAAAGTTAACCTCCTGGATTGCAGAGCTTGAGCTAATATCAGTTTGATATTCCAAAGGAAATCCTTCAAGCTCAGGGGGCCACCAGGTGGCGCATTGGAAGATGGCCGACAATAACATCTCTCTGACCCATACGAGGTAATTAAGAGGCTGCTATGGGAAGTATGCAGTCCTCCTACCCCCCCCCCCAGGAGATGGGGGGGCTGCCTTGCCAGCGGCGCCCACAATGCACCCCCGGATTCGAGAGATGGGGGTGCCGGACACTTGGCACGAGCCCTCGATGAGGTCAGCTCTTCCTGACGCCAGTTCCAATTAGCGCGTGCTGGCTTGCTTTAGCTCGGAATTATAATTGGAAACATATGATTGGAATGAAGCTAAAGCACATACATCAAGCATCGCTCGGGAGATAAGACTGCTGACTAATGGATCTCTGTGACTGGAGTGACGGATGGATAAGTAAATCTTCTGATGAACCACCATTATGAGACTGTATGTTTGGAATGAAGGGGGGGTGGAGGAAAAAACCTTTTTTTCTTTGCACTATGTGATATTAATAACCCTCCACCCCAGAAAGAAATAAGATCGTTGCGTTTTACTAACCACAAGCAGGAATTCAAGAACTGTGTGGGATGGATTATAGCTAAAGAGAGGATTGGTAAACAATGAGAACGGAGGAAAATTTTATGATGCAGTTAAAAAATGGCGTCTCGCCAAGACAGGCTTGCCGGAGAAAGAAGGACAGGGGGAGGAGAATCAGGACCATTGGAATGAGAAGGATGGTTGGAATGTAATCTTGACCTGACAGAGCCTCCTGATATACTTGGCAAGTCTGAGAAAATTAAAGGACAGACCGAAGATTAATTTTTTTATGGAAGCGTGGAATAGCGGCTGTCCCTGAGCGATATGATTTTTGGAGAGTACAAAACCCACACAGAGGATGCCTGTTTCCAATCTGCTTGTGAAAATTATCAGAGATCGCAAAGAAAGGAATATACGATAACAACAAGAAGATGAAGAAAGTAATAAAGGACTATCTGGATTGAACTGGATAGAACTGTTTAATTAAAGCAGCAATATAAGTGATGTTTGGACTCATTCGGAGCTTGATGTATGGGTACCCCCAACAAAATTTAAAATGTGGCTGTATAATTTGGAACTAATGTGATTTGGATAATGTGATGTGATTGGCCTGTTAATAAAAATTATTTTTTTAAAAAAAGGAAATCCTTCAAGCTCAGATTTCCTTAAATATAGCCAAACACATGTTCCATCTTTCTGAAGCTTTCACAATATTAACAATTAAAATAATGCTGATTTTCAGTTTGTTAGAAGACCAGTTTACAGCTCCCTCATGTGATATTTGTATTCAGCTTTGTTTCCTTATTTGGTTTCAAAAACCTTGTGGCTATTAGAATGTAGAGAGATTATACAACAATGAACATTCATCTTAATTTGCATGAGTGTTTATATAACATCCTATTAATCATCCATCCATCCCACACTTTTCTAAGCATTTCTCCATCACTTTCCTAACCTCAAAAATTATTGTTTCTGTAGTAGATTTATTGCCCTAGAATCGCAGATCACTTTTATTCCCTCTAATTGTACGTTGGTATGTCCTTCAATTCCTCATGCAAAATACTCAGAATCTGGAGGTGCTGTCAGACTAGTAACATTGCATCTGACAAGTTCCACAGGGAACCTCACATTTTGAGAATTTCACTTTGGTATTGGTAGGTACGAATATGTGGTGTGTGTTTTTCTTGCAATATCTCATTCTTCCAATTTTAAATTCCGTTCCTCACATTTCTGCAGCAATCTGTCATTTGTTTGTTTGTTTGTTTGTTTGTTTGTTTGTTTGTTTCTCATGAAAATTCTTCAGCATTTTAGTTCAAATTTATCCTAGCAAACACAGTTTTCTATGCAGTTTTGTACCTTTCCCCTCATATGATTCATTGTACATGTTGTCTTCACCCATGGATTCCTTTTAATGCATACTTTCCCCTAATGCATGCTCTTTAAGTGTGAATTTCAAGATATGCTTGTGTTTCAGTCTCCTTCCTTCCTTATCTTTTTTTCTTCTTGTTGGACAGTTTGAACGTGAGGGATTGGCTTTTAAATGGGAACTGAATTGAATTCATCTCCCGCCCATGCTAGTGGGGCATTAAATTGTGACAAGGTATCCTTCATTTCTTCCATTTTTAGATTGAGTGCCAGAGCTATGGTCGTGGGACCCACCTTGCCTCTATCCTCACTGAGAAAGAGGCAGCCTTGGTCGCCAAGCACATCGCCACATACCAGAAAAATCCAAGTAATGTCTGGATTGGGCTCCAAGATCCCCGTCAGGTGAGTTGTCTTCTCTTATTCTATTTCAGGCCATTGTCAGTGATGTAGGAGCCAACTCCTAAGGGCTGAGGTCCCTCCCCCCCTAAAATATTTGAGGGGGCCAGCCCCTCCCCCATTATTGGGCACTGTCATTCAAATGCTGTGTGCGTGATAGATTATATGGGGCATGGCTTAACTGCTCCCTTCCCAATATTTTATTCAAGTTGGCACCCCTAATCATTGAATAGTGGCTTCTTAACACCACCATTCTGTCCTTATCTCAATCATCTCCCAGGATTAATCCAATATTTAACTTCTCCATTATGTTTATGGGGGTCCTCTAATATCTCCATCCTAAATGCCAATCGCTTCACTCTGACCAATGCTCCACATAACAAACCAATAACAAACTTAGTTGGTCTCTAAGGTGCTACTGGAAGGAATTTCTTTATTTTGTTTCAATGCTCCACATGATCTTTTAACGGAGCTCCTCATTTCAAATGACTGCATGATCTCTTCCATATCATTCCTGCAGAATGGGCGTTGGAGGTGGGCTGACGAATCAACCTTCAATTACCGAAGCTGGCAAACAGGGGAACCAAACAACGTGGGTGGTGTGGAGTATTGTGTGGAGTTGCTGCACGTCTCTGGTAAGGAAAACATTTCCAGGGTTGAGAAGAAGACATTTGCATCTTGGATTTTACATTGCCATCTGCTTCTCCATCCATTGCCAAAATTTCTTAAGATTGTATCTAACAAAGTTGTACTTAGTCATCACTACCTAGGTAAAGGTAAAGGGACCCCTGACCATTAGGTCCAGTCGTGGCCGACTCTGGGGTTGCGGCGCTCATCTCACTTTATTGGCTGAGGGAGCCGGCGTACAGCTTCTGGGTCATGTGGCCAGCATGACTAAGCAGCTTCTGGCGAACCAGAGCAGCACACGGAAACGCCGTTTACCTTCCCACCGGAACGGTACCTATTTATCTACTTGCACTTTGACGTGCTTTCGAACTGCTAGGTTGGCAAGAGCAGGGACCGAGAAATGAGAGCTCACCCTGTCGTGGGGATTTGAACCGCCGACCTTCTGCTCGGCAAGTCCTAGGCTCTGTGGTTTAACCTACAGCGCCACCCGCGTCCCTCTTATCACTACCTACAATCATCACTCATACCTCATCACTGCCTACAATCCATTAAATTTAAAGAGTTTACTCTGAGGATGAGTTGGTTGGATACAACACTCAGCCATGTGCTTATCTGTACCAAGGTTCACAAATTAATTAAGCTGTACACCAAATCAGCAAGGATCCATTTGTTGAGCATGAGTTAGAAGGCTTTGACTACATCCAGTCTTCATAGGTTGGTTGCATGTAATTATCTTCATTTATATACTTTATCCAGAAAACAGTGGTTGCCAAACTGATGTATGAGTCTATTATCTCAAATTTCAGATTTACGGAAGTGGAATGATAGAATCTGTGATCAAATGAATACCTTCATTTGCAAGCAAGAGCTGTAAAGCAGTCCTACAGTTCCCAACAGTGCCAGCAGGGAGCTTCAACTGAAGTCAGATGCCTCTGGTATCATTTTCTCCTCCGACATCCCTCAAAGAGAAAGACCAGCTGTCTCCAATGACTCTAAAATAAACATTCATGTCTATAGCGTTGTCTTCTTCAGTCTCCATCTTTGACATTTTCCTGTGGCTTCAGCTCTGTGTAATCTTAATAAATTCTCTCATAGGCATATGCTTCCTAGTGCACTGCTATCCTCCTCCATCCAGCCATACTTACAACTCCACTTCCAGTATTGCAAATCTCAACATGACGGGGTGGGTGAGTTGTACTCCTTTCATGGAAGTCCCAGGGAGCAGGAACATTGTACCTAAGGAGTATCATCCCTGCACTGCTGCTTATATCATGCAAGGCATCAAGCAAGACATCAACATCAGTGCAGTTTTTTCAAGATTCAGTCCACCACTTTGATTCAAAAAGACATCCAGTTATATCCAAATATAGGCCAAAACCTCTGCATTTTCCAGGAACCATCAAATCAAAATGGGAGATAATATATTCTTTTCTTTTTCAAAATGAATTTTATTTGGTTTTACAAATTTAACATTATAATCATACCACTTCCTCTGAATCTTTGGACTTACCACCTTCCCCTCTGTGGGTTCTATTGTTACCCTTTTCTACTGCATCTTTTCCCCATAAACCAAGTTTTTTATAACTCCATTATATCCATAGTTCTCGTCACATTACAAGTGTTATTGTGGTCCTGCTAGTGTTTTCAGCTGCTTACAGTGGTCTTCTAGGTAAAATATATATTTTTCCCATTTCTTATTAAAGGTTTGGTCTTCCTGGTTTCTGAGCTTTCCCGGTCAGTTTTGCCATTTCGGCATAGTCCAACAGTTTAATTTGCCATTCTTCTCTGGTAGGGACTTTATCTTCTTTCCATCTCTGGGCTAACAGCATCCATGCAGCTGTCGTCGCATACATAAAAAGCCTTTTCTGCTCCCTTGGAATTTCAGCATCTACAATTCCTAATAAAAAAGCCTCTGGGTTTTTTTTTATATAAAAGTTATTTCAAACTTTTTTTCCCAATTCTTTATATATCATTTCCCAGAATGCTTTTGTTACCTTAAACATCCACCACATATGATAAAAGGTGCCTTATTTTTCTTTACATTTCCAGCAGATATTTGTACCTGTCTCATACATTTTTGCTAACTTACTATGGGTTAAATACCAACGGTACATCATTTTCATATAATTTTATTTCAACGTACAGCATGCCAAAAATTTCAGATCAGTTTTCCATAACCTCTCCCAGGATGAGAGTTGGATATTATGCCCCAAGTCCCTCCCCCAGTGTATCATAACAGATTTAACCTGTTCATCCTGGAGATAATATATTCAAAAGAGTTCAAATCAGTGCAGTTTGGAATACCTCTGTCCAACATCTTGATTCAAAATTGCATATGATGGTTTCCAAAGTAGACCAGCACTCACTCTACCATCTCAGGAACTGTCACACAAATTTGGATGACAACAACATCTCCAGGGGTCCAGACTAGGGCAGTTCGTAATGGCTTGGTCTGCCATTTGATTCAAAATGGCATCTGGCAGTTTCCAGACATAGATGAGAAATGGTTCCTCCATTTCAGAAACCATTGTGCCAGTTTTGGGGATTACATTTCAAGGGCTGTCTGACTGGTGGACAGGTGGCTAGCAGAACAACATTCCAAAATATATAGCAGACACTAGCAGACAGTATCTAGGATTGCCCAGCAAGTCTTAAAAAACAAAAGATTAAAAGATTGATAAATGGATAGGGGTTTCTTAATTCTTAACAAAAATAATATATATATTTATTTAATCTTGTTCAGTAAACTATAATATACAAACCCTTCAGTACTAGTTAAAATCAGTGCAGTTTTGAGGGGTTTGGTTGAGGGTGGCACACTCTACTTCTAATCGAAAGAAATAGGGAGGTGCTATGTGGCACTGTGGGTTAAACCACAGAGCCTAGGGCTTGCCAATCAGAAGGTCGGCGGTTCGAATCCCCACGATGGGGTGAACTCCCATTGCTCGGTCCCTGCCCCTGCCAACCTAGCAGTTCGAAAGCACGTCAAAGTGCAAATAGATAAATAGGTACCGCTCCGGCGGGAAGGTAAACGGTGTTTCCGTGCGCTGCTCTGGTTCGCCAGAAGCAGCTTAGTCATGCTGGCCACATGACCCGGAAGCTGTACGCCGGCTCCCTCAGCCAATAAAGCGAGATGAGCGCCGCAACCCCAGAGTCGGTCATGACTGGTCCTAATGGTCAGGGATCCCTTTACCTTTACCTTTTATGATCCCTGAAGGTCCTAGCTTCCCTGGTCCATCTCACTGTTCATTGACAGAGCCTGCTCCTCTAGAACGTTTACTTGGGCTAGTGCCACATCCCCCTCTGGAGAAGATTCCTTCAGTGACAGCATGACAGTTGGGTTATCTCAAGAGGTGTCAAAATATGTGCAATTTTGAAGGTCCCAGTCCACCTTTTGGATTCAAGTTGGTGTCCAATGGTATCCAAAGATGGACCAAACCCCATTCCTTGATCTCAGAAACTATCATGCCAAATTTGGTAAATAGTATCTCCAGAGCTGTCCAAAACAGTGCTGTTTAGGAATGGTTTGCTATGCCACCTGAAAATTAAGTAAAGAAGAAGTGAGAACTATTGCTGAGTTCCAATCTCTTTTTGACCACCCCCCCCCCCAACATGCCAAATTTTCTGCATTTTGATTTGTCCTTTTCTCTCACAGCTTGCCATTTCCCCCTCACTCAGAATTCGGTTCCGTACTGGTAAAATGAAACAGGATACACCCTTTCAGAAACAATTCTCCATTGTTTTCAGGGTTGATGTGACCCCAAGCCTCATGCAGGTAGAGGGAGATCTCAAAAGGTTCTAGCACTACTTCCTTTACCAGTCAGGCTTTTAGCCTGCCAAAAGGTCTTAACCTTTAGATTCTGACTATTTCAACAAGGAAGCATTATAGGTGCTCTGACGGCATAGCCTCCATGTGTGCCTCAGTATTCATAAGTCTAGCCCATATTTGATGAACGCCCTAAGCCATAAACAGCAGTTAAAACATTAACTATCTACATCTGCCAAGATGATATAAAGTCCATAAAAGTGCTAAGTAACTCATAAAAGTGGTGCCAAGTCCTTTAAACAAAGAGGGGAAAAGAACACATTGTGATCAAATGTTTCAATCCTTCTTAAATGTATTAGTCCAGCCTATTTGCTTTCTTCCCAGCATGCTTCCTTGAAACCATCAAAATATATTAGCTCTATAAATACTCTCCTTCCCCCTACCTCCCACCCAGGGAGACCCTGTAAAACCAAACTTCCTTCACCCAGGTGCACATTGAATCAGACCTGTTTTTCTCCCATGACCTGAATAACAATTCCATTTCTAACTGAGGATGGGTGACACAGTCTTGCCCCTGCAACTCCCCCAAGCGATGACCCAAAGGGTAAACTCTATTTGGGGAATGTACCCTGCTGCAGGACCTCTGGTACTGCCTAAATATGGAATCCATTAAAAAATACTGCTTTTGAGGCAATTTGAAACATCGGCTATATTCTTTTTATCCTTGATGGGTCATTAAGACATGCAAGACATCAAACAGTGTTTAAGTCATCTGTGGGGCGTGCATTGTTGTGTAAACCCAGATTTTAGAATACAGTTGACATCTCAGTAAAACAGATTGTCAACCCTGTACCCACATTTAATATCCTTAAGGATACCCAATTTTAAAAAGTCTTTTGGCCCCAGTGGCCACCAGCCTTCTTCTTTTTTCTACAATGCCCCAGAGGATAAGGGACACTTGGGGTGGGGGTAGGGATTACTACTCCCCCCCAAAAAAATATATCATGGAAACGTCAATGTTTTTGTGGTGTTCTACAGAAGACTGTGTCTGTTCATGAAACTCCTAGTGCAGCAATGTCCAACCAGATGACCATGATCAACAGGTAGATTGTCGGTGTGCTCCCGGTCAATCGTGGGAGTAAAAGAAGTGATCACCCGTTTGTTCCTGAGAGATCATAACGCACCCTGACCCCAGCACTATGTCCCATTTTTGCTGCCAGTACAGCTTTGAAAGGTTGTATTTCCAGCATTGGCATCAGAGTGGGGAAAGGAGGAAGGTCAGCGGACTGTTGTGCAATCAATGTTATGCAATCCGTCTCCATAAAAGCTGAACAACTGTTACCCCCCCCAAAAGAAAGCTGAACAACTGTGGTGCCCCCCTCCAAAAAAGCTCAAGAACTCTGCTAACTCCCCCCTAAAAAAAAGCTCAACAACAATCGGTAGATCACTGCCAGTTTTCTTTATATACTGGGAGTAGATCGCAGTCTGTAGAGAGTTGGACATGCCTGTCCTAGTGTATTATGGAGACAACATGGCTGCCACTGAGAGCTACCAGGTGCACAACCAAAGAAAGCATTGCAGAAACCCAGTTTGTGTCTCCAGCTTCCATTTGGATGGAACCTTGCCTTCCACTCTGCTGGAGCTGCCCTCAAATAAGCCAGGTAGGAAAAATAGCATCTAAAGAAGAAGAAAACAAGGGTGTGTGTGTAGTATAGAAGAAGAAGAACAGTCCCCAGTCTAAGCTCCCCACCCTCCATCACCACAGGTACTTATATCCCAATCTCAGAAATGAGCCAAGGAGGGGGGAGTTAAATAGCATGAGGAAGCAAAGAGGAGGGAGGAGTTTAGCTCCCCTCAGATATTTCCTATTTTCATGTAAAAACTAGACCTCGCCAAGCCCCATTTTTAAACATGAATAACATGAGTGGTTTCCACAGTTTGGGTTTTATGGAATTCTTGCCACGTTGACTCATCTGCTAGGGAACGTCTTGCATGTGGCAGAGGATTCTGGGAAATATTCCAAGGCAGTCTCTCCCTTTATGAAGGATGCGGGCCAGTCTTGTTACAGGTCAACTTTGCACTACCTGAAGTGAGGGTGTGCTCTTTGAGCAGACTCAGCACTCCCCTTCACTGACACCTTTCAGTTTCAAAATAGAAAGTGGTGAAGGAAGTGCGCCTCCTGGATTTGGGTTTATCTCCAGATGGTAGACCTGTTCTTTGATTCTAGTTAAGTCTTTTATTATTGTATTTAGAATATTTACTTTTCCATCACCTTTCACATAAATACCTAGGGACATTCATGCAACCAATCATGTGTTTTTATGAGTATTTGAAGTACAGCCTTTCCTTTGTCATCTGTACTTTATGTATGTCTAAAAGGTTGAAATTCCTTCCTCCTTTCCCCTGCCTCTGACCTGACAAAGCTTCATATAATAATTAAGACAGCCAACTTGGGAGTCAGGCTTGCCTGTGGAAAGAGTTATCCATCACCTCAAAAGGACTGAACCTGGGTAAGTTGGAGGTGGAGTTGGGGATGGGGTAGAAATTCAGTTCAGATTCCATTTAAAGACATACTTATTGAATTTGCACTATCTGAAACAATATGAGAGCTGAAAAATAGCCACCCTTTGAAATTTGTATCTCTTTGAATTTTTCAACACAGTTGAATTTCTCATGGAATTTCTTCAGCTGTGTAATGCATACAAAAATTATGTACTTGGGGAAGGTGTTAATAGAAATGCATATTGTTGGAGATTCCTCAAATGAGCATATGATCTCCAAGGTCCCTTCTAATCTCAACATTCTATAGCTCAATGAATTGTCAACACTGATAAACATCAAGCTTTTGTTTCTTTCGTCTTTCTCTAATCTTCATAGTTCTTAGAAGTTCAAATAAAGTAGAATTGTGATTTTAAGAGTAGACAATGTTTAAGTCCTCCTTCCTTCCATCACCACTTGGGATGAATGGCAATCAGTGGAGGTATTTGTTGAATTCACTGTACATTCCTCTTCCACAAAAGGTCTACCACAAGATGGGATTTGTCACCTCCTTCGCCTGTTGTCTTCTTGGAGTCCTGGTCTCCAGTTCTTTTCCAGGAGGTGAGCATTTTAACCAATTTTTGAGAATTACCCAATGCAAACTATTTACCCCTAGTCCTTCAGGTGTCCATATAAATATAATTAATTCATTTATTCCCCCTTTTTAAGTCTAAGTCATCATATTAAGGCAGGCAATCGAGAATGCAGACACAAGAGAATTATGATTAATATTCCCTTACTATCTTAGTCTTTATATCAACCCTTCTTGGGCTTGTAATCCTAGTTACTATCACAATTCAGGAATTCAAGCTTGCTTAGCAATGTCAAGTTTGAGATAATGTTACTCTGAGAAAGCTTCCAAGATAATATTGTCTTTCAAACATATCCTCAAGGAAAGAGCAGTGTTCACCAAATGACAATCCTATTGCACTCTTTGAATATTTTGGTTCTCCATTCAGTGACTGAAGAGCCATCTTGGCCATCCATCACATCTGGGCTCTGCTGGAATAAGAATCTTGCCCTTACCATCTTTCTGCTTATCTTGTTTTCTCTTTTAAAATAATAATAATAATAATAATAATAATAATAATAATAATAATAATTCAGTTTTAAATTTAACATTTTCACTCAAATATAAATCAAAATCATAAAAATATAGGATTCCCTGAATCCTTAGACTTCCCTCTACTCCTCCATGGCTTCCATTGTTAATCTTTACCCACCTGCATCATATAATGTTCTCCATTTATTCTTAAAATTCAATTCATACCATAGCACTTGTTACGTTACAAGTGTTGTTATAATTCTGCCAATGTTTTTAATTGTTTGCAGTATTCTTCAAGGCAACTTATAAATCCCCCCCATTCTTTATTAAATGTATTATCTTCTTGATTCCTGATCTTCCCAGTCATTTTCGCCATTTCAGCGTAGTCCATCATCTTTATCAACCATTCTTTTCTGGTCGGAACTTTATCTTCCTTCCATCTCTGGGGCAATAGTATTTGTGCAGCTGTCGTCACATACATGAATAGTCTTTTCTGCTCCTTTGGTATTTCTGCATCTAGAATTCCTAGTAAAAAAGTTTCTCTTATTTTCTCAATCTATTTCTCTCCTTTCTTCACTTTTCCCCTTACCTCTGCATATAACCTCCCTCGCATATAACCTTCTCCGCCTCCTTATCTTTCTGTTTCACGCTTTTAACCTGTGCTGCTCTTCTTATCCTCAGCTGTTGTTTCTCCTCGGTGTCTCCAGCCAGTTCTCTATTCCCTCCTTGGGGACATTCCTTCTTTCACACTCTGCCAGACACACTTTTATCCTCTGCCTGCATGTCTCTCTTTCTGCAGTTTTACATTGCCTTGCTCCTTTCAGTCTACATAGCTCATATTTGAGGCAGGCCATGAGACCAAAAAAGCATGAGAGGAGCTGTAGAAATCTTTATCTGGGTTAAGTGGCATTATATCAATAGTGCTTGTTATATTTTCAAGCGATGGTTATCCAGCTAAGGCTATTAGAGCAATGGTTTAGGTTAGGCCTATATTCATTGGTTTCAAAATTATCTCTGATTGCTCAAAGCAGTCACCCCTTTTAGCAGTGTAGCTAAAATAAGATTTCACATAAAGAACAACCATCTTATTACTTTGTTCCTTTCTCCTCATAGCCAAGGCCCTGTCCTGTCCTGATGGCTGGCTGCAAAACCAGGGCAATTGCTATGGATATTTTGATACCAAGTTGTCATGGAGAGATGCTGAGGTAAGAAATATTTCTCCTCAAGCAAAATGTAATAGAATCATGGAATCATAGAATTGGAAGGTATTTCAAGGGTCATTTAGTCCAAACCCTTGCAATGTAGAAAGCATCTGTGGCATTTGCCTCCTAGGTGGGTCATAAGGAAAGGGTTAAATGAGTGTGATGTGATTGGCCAGAGAGAATGCAAGGGGAGGAGTAAAAGTTAGAGTCGGAGGTGTGTGGAAGTTAGTTGAGAGTTGAGTGTTGGGAGTTGGAGAAGTAAGAGGGAGGAATAGCCTGTGGGTTGGTCAAGTTGTATGGTGAGAGAGTGAGAGGAATTGTTAGGTGGAGTCAGATAGATAATTGGAATAATCAGTTTGAAGTTGTTATTTTTTCATGCTTATACAAATAAACTTGATTATTTGTTAATGTTAACAACTGTCTGGACTCCGTGTGTCCGCAAAGAGAAACGGGGTGGTGGCAACGAAGAGGCAATCTCAGTGGTGGCACAGGGTCAATAGACCGTCAAACGTCCGGGGACCCTGTGTGATCGCCACAGCATCCATGACAGATGGCCATCCTACCTTGGCTTAAAAACCTCCAAGGAAAGAGAGGCCACAGCTTTCCACTGTCAAACAGATCTTGCTGACAGAAAGTTCTCCCTAATGTTTATAATTTACATCTTTTGGGTTCCTATCAGATTCTGTGAGCAGGGCTATCCTTGCCCTGGAACAATACCTATCCAGCATCTCAGACTTAACAAAAGAGAGTTGGTCACTTTATGTTCCAGTGAAGCATCTCTGTGGGAGCTGTGAATGTGACAGTTATGTCAAATTCTCCCCTCCCACCAGGAGAAGAGGGAAGAAATCTTTGTGTGGAAAAGTAGAATAGACTGCAGTTCTGAAACAGGTCTGAGACTGGGTTCGCAAAACATTTCATGGCTCTGGCTGTCTCCCTAGAGAACTCATGTATGAACTGTAGATATTGGCAGTCTATGGGAGTGTTTGATCCTCTGCCTATGCTCAGCCTATATATTTGCAGAATAGTATTTTTACAATGTCAAAAAGCACCCAGTGACCTAATTCCAAAGGGAATTTACCAAACATTACGTATGTACTGCACCCCTGCAACTTTTCGGTGCAAGGGTGACATAACAGTGCATGCTGTGTGGTCTGCAGTGTTGTGAAAGGATGCAGTGCTGATCATTTGGGTTCCCGAGCTCAAGTTAAAATAAATTAGGCATTGCAAAGCAAATCTCCCAAGTTCAAATTTCCTTGCCTCTATTTAAATGTAATACTCCCTTTCTGTAACCTTTTGCAGCTTTTTCAACATTCTGCATAAAAATGCTTCCAGCTAAAATTTCTACATAAAAAAAAAAAAATGGGTTTGTTGGAAGACCGGCTTAGGGTTTCTCCAAATGACCTTTTAATTGACCACTCATCCTGCATTCATCCTAGATGAGCGGGCAAGAACATGCTCCTACATTTGTTCATTTATTTATTTATTTAAGTGGATTAATTGTGCAAACCTACACTTCCTGTTATGTGCTTGAATTCCTCGTGTGAAATGCTGTCGATCTGGAGGTGCCATTAGTGCACAAAAGTTTAAGCCCGGCAACATGGTATGTGACACTAATTTCTTACAGTCTACCAGTAAGACTTGCCTCTTGAAAGTCAAATTTCAGAGAAATAAATAAAAATGTTGATATTCCACAAACTCTGCATCATTCCTTTTAGTGAGATATGGTTTTTGGACTGTTGTTATCTGATGTGTTGTGAGACACTTTGGGAATGACTTTTTGTAAAAAAGAAAAGAAACAGGTTCTGATGGCAGTTGTGGCAAAACATCTTTCATTCTTTCTCCATTCTTAGACTGCATGCCAAAGCTATGGCCATAGGGCCCACCTTGCCTCTATCCTTAATGTGGATGAGACAGCCCTGATTTCCAAGCACATCTCCACGTCCCAGCAAGAACAAAGCAACGTATGGATTGGGCTTCATTACGTGAGTTGCCTTCACTTGCTCTATTCCAAGTCATTGTCATAGAGTAGTGGCTTCTTAGTATCACCACTCCTTCTGTATATAATAATATCCAAGAATGAACCCCACATGCTACATCAATATTATTTTCAATGCAGATCCTCCTCTGACTCATTCATAGCTGGCACTACCTTCCCACTGACCAACATATCCAGATAATATTGACACCAGGCTCCTCATTTCCTTACTTACATGATCTATAATGTCTCAATCTTGCAGAATGGGCGTTGGAGATGGCCTGATGGATCAGTCTACAAGTTTGACGAAGGTTACAAATCCTGGTACCCAACCACACCAGACGACTGGGCCCCTTATGAGCATTGTGTGGAGCTCCTATATTTCCCAGGTAAGGAAACCATTTGCAAGGTCTGACAAAATAACAATTAAATGTTGAGTTCCACATGGCCACACACTTCTCCATCAATGTCCTACTTCTCTCAGGATTGTAAGTCATACTCAAAATAGTTCCATCAAAATCAACAGACCCAGGTTAGTATTTTATGAAAGTCCATTGATTTTAAGGAGTCTACTCTGAGTATGAGTTAGTTGGATACAACTGTTGGTCAGGTATTTGTTTCTTTACAGCAAAGATAATTACTCTGTAGAGTGGAACAGCAGTGACTTATGTGTTCAGCATTTAGGGTCACTTCCAACATACCACAATATAGAAGGGTTCAGTTACAGCCTATCTGCATAGTAAATTGTACGTGACAACTGCCCTGGGATATTTGGATGAAGGGTGGTATGCAATTTGTAGCAACCACCACCACCATCACATTCATGTTGTATTCTGAAAACTGGTTGCCAGGCTAAAGTCTGAGTTGTGTATTCTCCTCACCATAGGGAAAGTGTTGACTAAGGGATGTAGAAAATCTAAGATCAGAAAGCAAAATTAATCTGGACTATTTATTCTTCATGTGCCTCCTAACTTCTGGACCTAATTCTGTCATTTGTTCTCTTTTAAAGAAACCGTTTACAGTTTTGTGAAATGGAATGATAGAAACTGCAACCAACTCAACAGCTACATCTGCAAGAAAAAACTCTAAGACAGCAACTGTCATTCCCAACTGTGCCTTCTGTGATTGATGGACAGCTCTCTGGAATCATTACCTCCTCTCCAATCCCTCATTGATCAACTCTCATCCATTATTTCCAAGATAGGTTTCAATACAATGTAATCCTAATAATCTCTTATGCATATATTTCTTGTCATGATTCTGTCCTTCTCATCCCATCAGTCCTTACAGCACCAATTCTCAGAGCACAAATCTCATGATGAGGAGGCACTCCTTGCATGAGAGTCCCAGGAACAGGGGGGTGCTGTGTCTAACTCTCACTGTGTCTAGCACTGCTGTTCACAACACACAAGGCACTCAAATCCAGATGTCACCACAAATTTCATCCCCAAAACAAACACCTTTCCTTAGAGCTGCTCAGCGCAGTTGAAATGAAATCCAGAATTTTAGAAGCCACAAAATGAGGACAGGGAAAGAAGAAGAGTTTGGATTTGATATCCCACTTTATCAGTACCCTAAGGAGTCTCAAAGAGGCTAACATTCTCCTTTCCCTTCCTCCCCCACAACAAACACTCTGTGAGGTGAGTGGGGCTGAGAGACTTCAGAGAAGTGTGACTGGCCCAAGGTCGCCCAGCAGCTGCATGTGGAGGAGTGGAGACGTGAACCCAGTTCACCAGATTACGAGTCTACCACTCCTAACCACTACACCACACTGGGAAATTGCAAGGGAATCCCATTTAACCTGACCAGCACCATGTTCTGGAATGCTACACTAAATTTTAAACCAGATTCCTGCCCCAGGAAAATGCTGCCTAGAGCTTCTAGTTAAGAAAAAGCTGTTCAATATTCTCAGGCACACATTCCCCGCCCCACCCCAAAGTCAGTGTTTCCAAATGAGGAACCGACAATGAGTATTTGCTCACATAAAAATGCAAATTCAAGGATCGGAAGCATTAAGCAATATCAAAAGATGGCAATTCAACAATAGCAAGTTACCCAGTCCTTTCACAGACTTGTTTTAACTGAACATAACAGACATGAATAAGGGACAATACTGAGCACTAGCTGGACATCCTCCATGTTGTTTTACTTTGCGTGCATGGGCTTGGTGCATCTAATGGCCCCATGTCCATTTTCCTAGCTCTCTTCTCTTTTGCATAAATAGTCACAGTCACTAGGATAGTCAGGTCACAGGTTTTATTACGCTTAAATGTCACAGCACAGAGAGAGACAGAGACACACATCAGTGCCAAAGATCTCCCTGAGCAGCTTCCCTGGGTTAGATTTTTCTTACACCTCTATAAGCCTATAGTCTTATGCCTCTGCCTGATGTCACTCCATCACTCCAGCCACCACCCAGCATCCCCACCCCCCCGGTTTGCCTATTGCTTAACCAAGACTGAGGATGGGAGAGAAGTTCAATTCAGTTCAAAATGAAAACCAGGCCTACTCACACTTTCTAAAAACAATTCATGAGCTGAAACACAGCCAACCTTTGAAACTCACACTTCTCTGAATTTTGCAATGCTGTCCTCAGGTAACGTATATAAAAAAATCCCAAAACTATTGTTCATACAAATTCATAGATTAGTGTAAAAATGCATTGTATTGGGGAAAATTGCTTTTAAAAAACATGCTTACAGTGGTACTTCAGGTTACATACGCTTCAGGTTACAGACTCCGCTAACCCAGAAATAGTGCTTCAGGTTAAGAACTTTGCTTCAGGATGAGAACAGAAATCATGCTCCGGCAGCGCAGCAGCAGCAGGAGGCCCCATTAGCTAAAGTGGTGCTTCAGGTTAAGAACAGTTTCAGGTTAAGTACAGACCACTGTATATTGGGATAAATTCACACTAAAATGCTGATGAATCTACATAACTATTTTTTTAAAAAAAACAATGATGTGCAGATGCGGAGAGCTGAATTAAAGATGGGGGGATGAGAAACAGACAGAAACTAAAACTGGCACACCTGTTTAACCTTACCCACATCCTGAACAAGACACACAAGATCCTGTGCTGAACTGCATGAGGAGAAGTAGCAGGGCAGAGCTGAGTAAGCCCACACTGGTTGCACCTTCATTGATATCCACATGTACCACTGCAGGATTGACTGCAGAAGGGATGGAGAAGACATTCAATTCACACTATGTTTGAAGCATATCTCCCTAATTTGCACTTTCCAAAATAATACAACTGCTGTAAAACAGCCATCCTTTAGACCTTGGCACTTCTCCAGTTTTTGAAATGTAGATTGGTGGCCAAGCAGCGTAATGCATATATAACTGAAGACAGCACATTAAAAAACATGTGTTGGTGAAAATAATGTGCAAAACTATATTATATTTCAGATCAATACTTTGTAGGTTGGGAAACACTGAATGCCGACATGTGCACGTTAGAAGAAATGTTTGTGAAAGTGCTGGTGAATTTCCTTGCCCCAGCCAAAAAAAATACCCCAAACCTTTCGCCAATAGTTGTGGAAATGTGAGGAACTCAAGTTTGGAGAAATGAGAAATCAAGAGAAACCAGAACTGAGGGCAACATTTCCTCACAGATGACCTGCTGAGATTATTGATTTGACACACATGGAAGCCACTGGAAGAACAAAACAGACTCTTGCATTGAAATAAAAATTATCCAGTCCAAAAATGTGGTTCAAAAGCTTTGCTCACAGAACTTAAAAGAGGGCACCACACCCGACATGGATGCCTGCAATTAACATATGCATAGACCTGAAATGCAATCCCTTTCATGTGACTGTGAGCTGATCATCTTGTGACTAAGCCCACAGAGATACAGTCCAGGCCCAGCTCCATTAATGATTAACCAGGTAGGTTTTTCTCTAACCTCATGAAAATTTCCAACCATGCTTCACAGTATACAATACAAAGAATGTTATATATCTCCTGTTGCCAGTGCTTTTTCCTGGGGGTACGCATACCCCTAAACATTTTGTAAATCTAAGTTTGGCCTCATTGAGGGGCAGTATTTCAATATGAGTAGGGAAATGAGAGTACTCCTAAACATTTTAAAGGAAAAAAGCACTGCCCACTGCAATGTACCATTAATCAATTGTCCTGAACATGACCATCTGGGTAGAACATTCCATTGGTTGCTGGGGCCAGAAGGGAAAGAGGATGGAATAGTTCCACTTGGACTACTGCAGTGCACTCTACATGGGGCTACATGCGCCTTTGAAGGTGACCTGGAAACTGCAACTCATCCAGAATGTGGCAGCTAGACTAGTGACTGGGAGCGGCCTCCGAGACCATATAACACCAGTCCTGAAAGACCTACATTGGCTTCCAGTGCGTTTCCGAGCACAATTCAAAGTGTTGGTGCTGACCTTTAAAGCCCAAACAGCCTCGGCCTAGTATACCTGAAGAAGCGTCTCCACCCCCATCGTCTAACCCGGACATTGAGGTCCAGCACTGAGGGCCTTCTGGTGGTTCCCTCACTGTGAGAAGCAAAGCTTCAGGGAACCAGGCAGAGGGCCTTCTCTGTGGAATGCCCTCCCATCAGATGTCAAGAAAATAAACAACTCTCTGAGTTTTAGAAGACACCTGAAGGTAGCCCAGTTTAGGGAAGTTTTTAATGTTTGATGTTTTATCGTGTTTTTAATATACTGTTGGGAGCATCCCAGAGTGGCTGGAGAAACCCACCCAGATGGGCGGGGTTTAAATAATAATTGATGATGATGTTGATGATGGGGACTCTTGCCTTTGCACAGTAGACTGCCTTCAAGCCAGGCAAAGGTCAGAGGCTGCTTTACCCCTATCTCTCTATCCACCATCCAGACAATCAAGGTCAGTGCTCAAGTTCACATTCCAGCCAGACAAAATCACTCATGTCTGGCACAGAGAAGGGCCTACAGGTGAGCAATTGGGGCAGGGGTGTCTGGCTTAGCATCCCAGGATTTGGCACTGGTCAGGTAGTCTGGGATCCCCTTACATTTTCCCCTGTCCCCAGCTCTCAAAATCCCAGCTTTAGTATCAGCTCTGCTGAGCACCTCTGAGAAAAGAATTTAGGTTTGGGATAAAATGTTTCACCTACGTGTTGCCCTGAGTGCCTTGTCAGGTATCAGCGACACTGCTGGACTGGAGCCCCAGAGGTACAATGTGCTTCTTTTCTCCGGGAACTCCAGTGCAAGAATTGCCCCTTCCCCAGTCTTCAGATATATTTTTTTGGAACTGGAGCAATAAGGATGGACTCAGTGAAAAGAGAATACACGTAAGCGAGTTTATTAGGATTATATTTTGCAGAAGTAACAAGGAAACTTCGAAGTGAATGGGAAGACCAAAGAGGTAGCTCTATAGAGGAGGTTATTTTGAAAATGAAGAAGAGCTGTTTTTGAGGGATGGGAGAGGAAGCAATGAGATCAGAGATCCACTAAGCAGGCAGAGTTGGGAGCTGTGGTCTCCTTTAAATCTCTTGTTTGCAGATATAGGTATTGAAATGGTGACAAGGTTCATCATTCCACTTTCGAAAACCTAAAATTCAAGACATGACAAAAGTTACTATTTCTTGCCCATTATTACATAACCAAATGGATGTGCTTTGGAGTACGGGTTAGGATTTGGATTTGACTAGGGTATATTTCAGATACTAAAAATCTGGGCAAACGCGCACGCATTGCAAGGTGCACCAGGAACAAGTGAGGACCCGCCTGAGCTTTTTTCTCTTTTTGAGAGGTTTTTTTGTGTGAACATCTCCCTTCCACCACCCCACCCCAAATTTTCAGCTTTTAAAGCATGTTTGAAGCATTTTCCTTTGAAAATAGACCTGGTTGCCATATGTCCAGGTTTCCCCAGACTTTTTGCTGCTTTGCTGCCCAGACGCCATTTTCAGGCCCTGATTCCCAAGCATGTCTGGAAAAATCCGGACGTATGGCAACCCTTTTTTAATGTGGCGCCTTCTTTTGTTTCTTTATCTGACTTTAACCACTTCTTAGAGAAATGCTGTAGAAAATAATATGACATGGCCCACTTGAAAAACCACTGTTTCCAGAATATAATATGTAAATGAGTATGCATGCAAATAAAACACATGCAACTAAACTATGCAGATGAGCTACAGCTGAAGCTTCCTGGTGTGTTGGGCAGTGACGCTAAATGCTGAATGAATGGACCACTGCTAGCCAGGTCTACAGAGTAATTGATTTGTAAACATTTCTACACGCGAACACCTGGTTGAGGGTTAAATCTGACTCATAATTGGATCCCTTCTAATCAATAGACTTTAATTAGTGATGGTTAATTTGGGTCTATTGACAGAGGTATTTTCAGTGCAATTTAGTGAGATGCAACCCTGAGAAAGGTTGGAAATTTATAGGGAATTGGAGGGTAATGTAGCATTCAAGGTGAAAACGCCTTTTTTCTCAGGCATGCAAATAGTTTCCCTACCTGTCCAACGTTTCAGCTCCACACAATACTCCTTGCCGCCAGTGTTGTTTGGCTCCCTTCTGTTCCAGTTGTTGTAATTAAAGAATGAATCATCAAGCCACTTCCAATCTCGGTTCTGCAGGAAAGAGAAGGAACAGCTTATTTGACCAAGGAGGTTTGTAGCTCAGTGCAAGGATCTTCAGAGGAGTTTGCTCAGCAGGAAGCTCTTGCAAGCTATGATGGAGACATTAGAGAAGAAGCCCCTACCATAAGCACCATCTATGCAAGGCCATGGGTGCTGAGGCACCCACAAAATGTTCTCTGTGGGGGGTTGGCAGGGAGCGGCAACATGTTCCATGTGTGGGCACCCCTAATGTGGGGTGGAACCCAGCATGCCTGGCCCCTATGTAAAATATTGGAGAAATAATTATGGGATGCAGCCTGTGAGATGATAGGATGGCATTGCTAAGGAGCCACTGTGCTGTGATGATGACCTGGAATAGAGTAATTGAAGGGAACTCACCTCATAGGGATCATAGAGACCAATCCAGACATCATATTTTCTCCTCTGCTTTGAGGAGATGTAATTGGCCACCAAGGCTGACTCTTGCTCTGTGTGTATAGAAGCCAGATGGGTCCCACGGCCATGGCTTTGGCATGCAATCTGAGAATAGAGAAGGCACTAAAGTAATTCTGCCACCATTATCATCATCCGCTTAACTGTAGGTCACTTTCCCACATAATGGTGCCCAAAGTGGTTCACAATATATCAAAAAGACAACAAGACAACAACAACAACAACAACAACTTATTACTTATATCCCACCCATCTGACTGGACCTCCCAAGCCAACTAAATATTAAGAACATGATAAAACATCAGACATTAAAAACTTCCCTAAACAGGGCTGCCTTCAGATGTCTTCTAAATGTCAGGTAGTTGTTTATTTCCTTGACATCTGATGGGAGGGCATTCCACAGGACAGGCGCCACTACCAAGAAGGCCCTCTGCCTGGTTCCCTGTAACCTCACTTCTTGCAGTGAGGGAACTGCCAGAAGGCCCTTGGAGCTGGACCTCAGTGTCTGGGCTAAACGATGGGGGTGGAGATGTTCCTTCAGGTATACTGGGCCAAGGCCATTTAGGGCTTTAAAGGTCAACTCCAACACTTTGAATTGTGCTCGGAAACATACTAAGGTAAGAATTCAAAAGTGATATCCCACCCAGTTGGAGTTATCCAACTGTGAATAACCATGTGTAATGTCAAAGTTCTTAATCTATTCTATCTTTTGGAATGTGGTCCGTCTGTTTGTCCATCTGTCTATCTTTGACCAATCTGTGGCCCAAGAAACCTACTTTTTAAAAGAAAAGCCCACTTCTAAAAACTCCAAAAGAAAATTAGGATGAATGCTTGTTGCTGTGACTTCCCTGTACTCTTTTCGGCACCTTCTAAAAACATTTTCTTTAGACAACCCTATCAAGACATGTAGAATGTTGGTGTATGTTTTAAACTGGTTTTTAGACTTCTCATTGATTCTATTTTCCCCTGAATGTTTCAAATACTTGTTTTTAACTGTTTGTTACTGACAGTGCTATTGTATTGTTATTTTTTGTAAATCACTTTGGGTTTTAATAAAACCGAACAGTGTATAAGTCTTGTAAAATTTATGAATGAAAGAATGAATATTAATCTCTACTCAGGCAAATCAGACTGAGTGTTCAGTGAAGAATGGCTATCACATAACTTCTGTGTAAGCTTTGTGCAAACAAATCAGGATGAGGGTTCACGAAATAAGTACTCTGGAGGAGACCAAAGTTGGTTTTCTCACAACTCCAAATTCAGAAGCCTTTGCATACAGAATGTTGAGATTGTTTCAGAAAAGGAAAATAGGCATTTAAATGTATGCAAGGAGTTTTGAGCTGAAGGGATTTGCTTTGGAATGTTGAATTCATATTAGCTTGACTTCTGCTCAGATAATCACCAAACAAACTAACCTACCACATTCCATTTTGGCACTGCAGACCATTACAGTGGTACCTCCGGTTACATACACTTCAGGTTACATACGCTTCAGGTTACAGACTCCTCTAACCCAGAAATAGTACCTCAGGTTAAGAACTTTGCTTCAGGATGAGAACAGAAATTGTGCTCCGGCGGCACGGCAGCAGCAGGAGGCCCCATTAGCTAAAGTGGTGCTTCAGGTTAAGAACAGTTTCAGGTTAAGAACGGACCTCCGGAATGAATTAAGTACTTAACCCGAGGTACCATTGTATTCTTTTCAGTAACAGAGATGACTTGCCTCTTCCTAATAGTGAGTGAATACATTCTGGCCAGGCCATCCCTCCTGACCACAGGGTCCAACTCTTTTGGGCCAAGGTCCCTTTAGCCCCCCAATAAAATATTTGAGGGGGCGGGTTCCCAAAGGCGATGGGCATTGCCATTCCAATGGGGGGGTGCCATGTCTTGTGATCGATTGTGCAGAGCAGGGCTTACCAGCCACTTCCACGCCCCTTATTTTATTTAAGTTGCCACCCTTGAGGAGTCTTGACTGTTAATTAAGCCTTCATGGCTCCCATGGAAACACATCCCTTGAACATGTTGGGTGAGCAACTCAATTTGAAATGTTGGCCAGGTATTGTCTCAGGACAACCCACATACATAGCCCTCCTCAAAAAGATCTCATGTGCAACCCACAACAATATCTTATGCTACAGCTTGGTTGGTGAGAACCAACTTCTTACCTCAGCTGCAAACCATGTCTTTGGGCTATCAAAATATGCATAGCAGTTGCCCAGCGCTCTCAGCCAACCCCTGGGACAGGATCTGGCCCTTGCTGTGTGGAAAGAAGAGTAAAGGAAGAAAAAGTTGTAAGAAGACTGTTTTTAATGTGAAATCTCACTTTACCTGTACTTTTGCTTATTCCATTGAGGAAGCACAGGTAATTTAAACCTTTGTGCTTTCAGAGGTGGTTAGTGTCCAGTTGAATTGGTGAGACAGAAGGCAGGGAGACCAACAGAAGGTGGATCCAGAGGCAATGACAGGCAGTGCCAGTCCCTGACTGGTTGTAAATATGAATATGAGGAGTGGTTCAGGGCAGACTGAGGTTGGTAGGGCAATTCCCTATTCATTCTAATGAACCAGCTTCAATTGCCTGATTATTTATTCCAACAGCCTTAGCTTGGTTACCATCACCTGGAAATATAACAATTACTTTTTATTTACATAAATGCTTAGCCCCTATTAAGATTTTTGGGAAATTCCCAGATAATTGTTAAAACACTCACCTCCAGGGAAAGAATAGGAGACCAGGAGACCAAGAAGGCAAAGATAGGTGACAACCCCCATTTTCTGGCTGACCTTTTGTGGAAGGAAATGTGCAACAAATTAAAAACCTATCCTTACTTATTGTGAATGTGGTGATAGCAGGAAAAAGTAAACCAGCATTTTCTGTTCTTAAAATCATAAATGGGAAGATTAGAGAAAGAAGAGAGAACCCAAAACTTAAAGTTGTCGATTGTTGAAGTATCATGGAGTCAAGTAAGGTTAGTGTGTAGGTGCACCTAGTGCTGACCACTGACTCTTCTGGACCAGTGGAGGCTGGTGTCCATTGGGGCTGATAGGGCAGAAGGCAGGAAGACCAGTGATAGGTGGAGCCAAAGTCAAGGACAGGCAGAGCCAACCAATCCTAACTTTGTTCCCATCCTCTTACCTGCAGAGTTCCCTTCCTCTGTAGTGTTTCCTTAGGACACACTAGAGACTAAATGATGGACTACGGCTGGCTGAGTCATCTCTATGAAGACGACTGCTGCATGATTTTGAGGAAATATTCATAGAACAAATCGCCATGAGTTCTAGCATCTAAGGAGTGCCGCTAGACTCCTGTTTTCTCAAAGGCTGAGCTTCCTTATATGTGAAAAATCTGGTTTCCATTACTCTAAGTGTGAAACAGCAGCCATGATGTCAGAACAGAGTTGGTGGCCACCTTCACTAAGAACATGGGGAAAATACGTTCCACTTTGCATACAAAGGGAAATCCACCTGGTTTGCATGTGTTTCTTCAGGTTGGCAGTGCAGTTCACCAGCCAAGTAATGTGAAGAGAAATGCAAGGACTAGGAAACAGTGTGTAGAAATGCATATGTATATGAAAATAGCATGTAAAATGCATTATAAAAAGGAGAAATGTTCGCAGAAATGTGTCAATTAGTAGAAATTTACTGAAATGCTGATTTTTTAAAAAAAATTAAAAATGCCAACTGATGTGGAAGACTGCAAGAGACCAAAGCTGTCAGATTCACCCATCCCGACCTCCAACTTACCCAAGCTCCGTCCCGTTGAGGTGATGGATGCTGCTTTCTGCTGTGGCAAGTTGGGTTCTCAGGCTGTGGTGCCCATTCTTATATAGAACTTGGCCAGGGAAGGGCGTGAAAAAAAGGGAAGAAATATGAACCACGTTTCCATATATGGAGTACAGATCTAGAGAGAAAAGGCTGCTTTCAAATTCCACTGAAAACCACCGACATTTTGATTGCGTGAATATTCAGAGCAATTGCTAATATGCTTGTCCTAATGCCAAGTCCCCTCTGCTGCTGCTGCATTCAGATAGCCACAAACCTGACACCACCCTGACCCACCCCAGTCCCATCCACATTAGCTGTGTTGTACAACACCAGCATGGCAGGCCCCTGTAGTAACTGGAACCAAAGTTTTGTCCCTTGGTCTAGGTCCCCCTGCCCCACATCACCCCACCAAACAACTATTACCCCAGAGGGAAATCTGTCCTTGCTCCCCACTCTCATTGGCTACCATTCTAGGAGTCATAGCAGCTCTGGCAGAACAACTTCTGTTGAGACTGCAGTGGACAAGGGAAGGTGTCTCTCTTCTCTGTGCATGCACTGAAGTCCAGAGGAAAATTGGGACCCTCTATGCCTGCTACTATATTAATCGTCTGGACCATGTTTAATGTGACATCTAGTTCGTCCCCCCTCAGAAGGCATCTCTCAAGGGCAGAACTTACGAAGCAGAATTGGGGGGGGGGTTATTGTGTGCATGTGTGACATCATGCATGCAATAGTTGGTGTGTGTGTATATGTGTCATCACTTGGCCAAGTGTCCTGAACCCTGGCTTCTTCTCCTCCTCTTCCTGTGGCTGTCGGGGAAAGAGGTCCCAACTGCCCCCGACACCATGCAAGTGATATCACGGGCATCATGTCTTGAGTGTCTCACATGCTGCATGATGCTTGGCATTGTGCCAAGAGGAGGAGCCAGGGGCTGGAAAACGAGCAAGGTCCCAACTAAAGAAGAAACTGATGGAATATGTGCAGCTTGCAGACCTAACCTATCAAATAAGAGAACAAGAAGATTGGTAAATGTTTCTTGAATGTATGGTGGAGAATTCTGTGCACTTGAAAGCGTTGGCAGCATTCAGATAAATTCAACAGTGTAAACAAGTTTTGATGGATGTCATAATGGAATACTGAATGGTTTAGTTTATGTAAAATATGCAGGGATTTGTAATATGCAAAATGAACCATGGAAAGAGAAGGGAAGTCATTGACATTTTCAGGTTAATAATAATAATAATAATAATAATAATAATAACTTATTATTTATACCCCGCCCATCTGCCTGAGTTTCCCCAGCCACTCTGGGCTGCTTCCAATCAAGTGTTAAAAACAATACAGCATTAAATATTAAAAACTTCCCTAAACAGGGCTGCCTTCAGATGTCTTTTAAAAAGAAGATAGCTGCTTATTTCCTTCACAGGTGAAGGGAGGACATTCCACAGGGCGGGCACCACTACCGAAAAGGCCCTCTGTCTGGTTGCCTATAACCTCACTTCTCACAATGAGGGAACCGCCAGAAGGCCCTCGGTGCTGGATCTCAGTGTCCGGGGTGAATGATGGGGGTGGAGATGCTCCTTCAAGTATACAGGACCGAGGCCGAGTAGAGCTTTAAAGGTCAGCACCAACACTTTGATTTGTGCTCAGAAACGTACTGGGAGCCAATGCAGATCTCTCAGGACCAGTGTTATGTGGTCCTGGCGGCCACTCCAGGTCACCAGTCTAGTTGCCGCATTCTGAATTAATTGCAGTTTCCGGGTCACCTTCAAAGGTAGCCCCACATATTGGCTTCCAGGAGGAAAAATCAAAATTGGAAACAGAATTGTTAGATCCTAAAACTAAGAACTTATCAAGAATGTATAACTTGCTGTTGAAATGGAATACACAGGATGAAATGGTTAAATCTGTTATGATTAAATGGGCACAAGACTTTGGACATAACATTATGTTTGCTGACTGGGAACAGTTATGGACCACAGGTATGAAATTTACAGCTTGTAATGCCTTAAGAGAAAATATAATGAAAATGATTTACAGGTGGTGCTTAACCCCAGTCAAGCTAGCAAAAATCTATCATTTGCCAGATAGTAAATGTTGGAAATGTAAAGAGACTGAGGGTACATTTTTTCACCTTTGGTGGACATGCCCAAGGATTAAGGCTTTCTGGGAAATGATATATAATGAATTGAAAAAGGTATTTAAATATGCCTTTCTGAAGAAACCAGAGGCCTTTCTTCTGGGCATGGTCGGCCAATTGGTACGAAGGGAGGATAGAACATTTTTTATGTATGCTACAACAGCAGCAAGAATACTCATCGGGAAGTACTGGAAGACACAAGAATTGCCCACCCGAGAAGAATGGCAGATGAAAGTGATGGACTACATGGAACTGGCTGAGATGACTGGCAGAATTCGAGACCAGGGAGAAGGGTCAATGGAAGAAGATTGGAAAAAATTCAAAATAGATCTTCAAAAATACTGCAATATAAAAGACTGTTAGAAAGAGGTTGGAAAAAGAAAATTAGGTCGTTTTGGTAGATATGATATAAAGGATTAAGTAAAAACGAGTTGATGAATTTCATGAAATAGAGGAGGTTTAATCACATTATTTAAATTTTAAAATACGTAAATGAAAATAAGGTTAGAAGGATTTGCTGGAAATACGATTTGAACTAGAATACAAAATTGGGAGGTGAGAGGGGGTCATGGAAATAAGTAAAGGGAAAAGGCTATGTAAAGGTTAAATCTGTTTTTGTTTTATTTTAACTTAATGCATTTTTATATATTTTGTTAAGACTTCTTTTTTATTCTATTTTATTGTTCACTTTATCTTTTCATTTTTCGCTTTGTTAAAGTTTTCTTTGTACTTTGTATGGTTTTTCTTTCTCTTTTTTGTAACTTTAAATTTGGAATAAATATCATTTTTTTTAAAAAAAACCAAAGGTAGCCCCACGTAGAGCGCATTGCAGTAGTCCAAGTGGGAGATAACTGGAGCATGCACCACTTTGGCAAGACTGTCCACAAGCGGGTAGGGTCTCAGACTGCATACCAGATGGAGCTGGTAGACAGCCGCCCTGGACACAGAATTAACCTGCGCCTCCATGGACAGCTGTGAGTCCAAAATGACTCCCAGGCTGCGCACCTGGTCCTTCAGGGGCACAGTTACCCCATTCAGGACCAGGGAGTCCCCCACACCCGCCTGCCTCCTGTCCCCCAAAACAGTATTTCAGTCTTGTCAGGATTCAACCTCAATCTGTTAGTCGCCATCCATCCTCCAACCGCCTCCAGGCACTCACACAGGACCTTCAACGCCTTCACTGGTTCTGATTTAAAGGAGAGGTAGAGCTGGGTGTATTCTGCATACTGATGAACACCCAGCCCAAACCCGCTGATGATCTCTCCCAGCGGCTTCATATAGATATTAAAAAGCATGGGGGAGGACGGAACCCTGAGGCACCCCACAAGTGAGAGCCCAGGGGTCTGAACACTCATCCCCCAACACCACTTTCTGGACACGGCCCAGGAGAAAGGAGCGGAACCACCGTATAACAGTGCCCCCAGCTCCCAGCGCCTCTAGACGGTCCAGAAGGATGTTATGGTCGATGGTGTCAAAGGCTGCTGAGAGATCCAGCAGAACTAGGAAACTAGGAAACTAGGAAAGGTTGTTTAAATGAATATACTAAATTGTAAAATAGAAAAAATTAATAAAAATAATACACACAGAAAAGAGGAACATCCGGGGGGGAGGAGGAGAAACCAGCCATGGGAACTGCGGCTTGGTGCCCAGCCGCCTCTGTCCCCTGAATATTATGGGAGCTCCGCCCCAGCCAAAAAAATCATTTGGGGCGCCCAAAGAGCTCAGCCCCACCCCCAAGCTGGCACCCCTGGCAGAGAGGCACATAAAATCAGAAGGAAAGAGGTAGAACAAATTTGCAAGTAGATAATAAGTATGACCTGGTGCAAAAGGTGAAAGGGATCCTGCAAATGTAACTGTTCTGCAGAAGAAGGAACTTGACAAACTGTAGCTCTTTGTGCAAGTTATGCAAACCCAAAGCATGGTTTCTAATGCCTATTCCACCCCTATAGCCAAGTCACCCTTGTTAAGAAATAGTTGTTAAGAAATAGTTGGTGCAAAGGTCAATTTGACATAGTAATGTTATGAGTTGGGAGCGGGGTGCCAGACCCCTCTAATCCCTGGATCCAGCAAGTGTTGAAATGTAATCAAGCAAAGCTCGCTTCCTGGTGAGGTGAAGTGGGACTAGGGGGCTCAGGGCAAGACGGCAAATGGGTTGGGCCCCCTCCCTCAACAGACGTTACCACTTTACAGCCGGAGCCTGAGGCTTCTCGTTGGGGGGAGGGGTTAGCAATGGATTATTGCCCTTTGGCTTAACCCTGTCTTTCCCGCCACCTCCCCTTTCAGAGTGGTGGGGTTATCAGGGAAGCTCGCAATTCGGCGCTGCCAAAGCCCTGCACCCAAAGCTCCCTTTTGAGCTTTCTTTAGGGGTGCACAGTACCCTTGTGTTTCCCCCTAGCCCCTCTCAACAATTGAGCCTTCAAGGCTCGCTCTCCGCAGCCATTTGCGGCAACCCGTGACTATGACCTTCTCAGTCCATCCATCTTTGCAACTCAAGGTCCAAGAGCACCAACTCAAGTTTAGGTGGTGGTCATAGGGAATGAGGAGCACAGCACCTAAGAGACTCTGCCCCCAGCAGTGCTGCTCACTGCAGTCAAACCTAAAAATAGTTACAAATTGCTGGCATGCTAGTTGTCTGTCTGAGAAACTGCTAGATTTCCTTCTAGGCAGGTAGAGATTTACTTTAAGGGGGGGGGGGGAGAGAAAATCTGGAAATTCTGGAAAATCCAGAATCTGGAATGCTTGCAGGCATGAGTCCTGGTACAACGTCACCACCATAAGACAGCAATCCTGGTTGAGTTACAGCTCTTAATACATTTAAAGGCAATTAAATAGTACAAACAGGGTCACCAGGTGGGAGGGGATAAAAGGAACATAGAGGCAACCATCTGAGCCTTTGACAGGCAGCATCATTGCTAAGGATCCTTAATCACATAATTGCTGCTGCTAAGCAATCAGAGGAAGGAACCTGGGACTCTGGAGGGGAGTCTCCCAGAGCAGCAGAAAAGGAACAGGGGAAGCTGGTGGTATTTGCTGCTAGCCCTGACATCAGGCAAAGGACAAGAGTCTGCTTCTGTACTGAGATAGGTTTGTTAAAGCACCTTCCTCCGCTTCAACATGATTTCAGTCATTCCCCAAGTATGCTGCCTTTACAGTATAAAAGGCAATTGGGTGGCTACTCAGAATTACCTTGCTTGAAAGAACGATGCTTTCTTCCTACTGAGAAAACATTTGTGAAATGCCTATGCCCCACCCCATTTGCCATGTCTGCTTGTCACCACGGGGCTGTTGCTTATTGATATACCGTAGCCACTGCACAAAACAAAAAATATAAAATGAATCAGAAATACAACCATAAAGCCATCAAACATCTCACAGGTGCACCAAGTTAAAATTCTTACGTAAACACATGTGTTGTAATTTTCTGTTTATCGTGACTGGCAAAATGTTTTGTGTGTAACTGTGAATGCTTAAGAGTATTTCTCCTTCTATCCAGGCTGCACTGGAAGATCTAGGCATTTTTTGCTGGGGCTGGTGGAATGAACAATGCAGCATCCCAGGCCTTGTCAGAGGTCACTGCTAGGATATAGTTCCGTTCCACCTTTAGAACAGGCATGTAGAGTTGTTGTATGTCACATGCCTGTTTACTTCCAGCACAGTCTGCTGGGAACTTCCCTTGTATATAGCTTTTGCCTATGCCGTTTGCTTGGACACAAAGGGAAGCAGACATGTTTTTTCCTTTGTCCTGATGCTGAATAAATGCTTGTAAATGTGCTTACATATGCCTCTGTCCTCTACTTCTGCTGCAAATAGTTCTTATCTCTGCTAGCTTGCGTGCTCAGTCTCTAAAGGTCTCTGAGGCTTGAGTTACAGTTTTGATGCTTTTCCAAGAACCGGAGTTTGCCCGGCCGCCGGCCGGTGGGCTAGAGCCAGCTGGGGGCCTGCCAATTGCCCCCGTCTCCCCGGATGTATCTCAACAGTCACATGCTGTGGGGTCCTCTTGTAATTTTCCCTATCCTCACTTTATGGCTTCCACAATTCTGGTCATAGTATAAACCGTGCTGAGGAGCTCTGAGAAAATGAGTGTGCTTTAGGATGGGATTTGTAGCTACTTTGAGGTATGAATGCTCTGTGTGTTGTGAGCAGCGGTGATGGTAGAAGAAGTGTCCCCAAGGCAGGGCCAGCCCAAGGCATACTGGCAACTGAAGCAAATGAGAAAATTGCACCCCCAAGAATCATAGTTAAGAAGTCTAAAAGACAATGGGCCTCCTTTACATGGTAGGGGATGCTGTTCTTTCCTGCTTCACCTGCCTGCCCAAGAACTACACACCTTGCAAAGGAGGAACCAATCCTCTACAGCCTTTCTTGTCAGCTATGCTGAAAGTCAGGCTTATCCTAACTAACAGCAACATGCCAATGTTCCTGACTCCAGTACCTAGTAAATGGCTTCAGGAAGGGATTGAGCACTTGGGTTTGTGGAAGAGGTAAAGGCAGAGCCAGGATAAGCTTCTCTCCTCCTGTGACTTCAGCTCCTGCCACCCCATGCAATTCCAGCTCACATGACACCCCTGTCACTCACCCCCAGGTCCCCACTTGTGGGCAGCTGGCACTCACCCAGAAAAGGCCTTCCAGTGCCAATGCCCTCATCATCATTCTCTTCGCCATTCCCTCAGGGCACATACACAATGCACCCATGTAACAGGGGCAGGTCTCTCCTATCATCTATGATGTCCTTGCATTATAGGAGGGAATGTGGATGCAAGCAGGGCAGGCTGGTGGAGACGGAGGAGACAGTCAACAAGAGCAGGAGGCCAATCTGCTACCCATCCCAGCTTGCCGTCTGAGGCAAGAACTTCACCTTGCCTCATGGGTGGGGTGGCCGTGCTTGTAAGTATGGATGGACAAAGCAGAACAGCAATGCAATAAGGAAAATATGCATGGAAGAGAATTTATTAAGCTGATGCTCTGCTGCAGGTCCAAGAAAATTTCAAAGGGAAGGGGAAATTGAAGAGGCATCTCTATAGCAATGGCTATTTTGAAAGTGATGAGAGAGAGCAGAAATACATATAATGTCAAGGCAGCTTCCCAGCCAACACAGTGGAGAAGGGAAGTCTCCTTTAGAGTTATTGCTTGCAGATGAAGGCGTACTTGTTGTTGCATTTTTCATCATTCCACTTCTTAAAACCTGAAATTCAAAACAAAAATTATAATTCAAGAAATAAGGAAAGTTACTTCTTATTGCCTATTATTCCTTTCCCCAACGGGTGGGGGGAATAAAATGGATTCAGACTTTAATAATAGTGAGGGAACCACCAGAAGGCCCTCAGAGCTGGACCTCTGTGCCCAGGTTGAACGATGGGGGTGGAGACACTCCTTCAGGTATACTGGGCTGAGTCCATTGAGGGCTTTCAAGATCAGCACCAACACTTTGAATTGTGCTCAGAAACGTAGTGGGAGCCAATGTAGGTCTTTCAGGACTGGTGTTATATGGTCTCTGCAGCCACTCCCAGTCACCAGTCTAGCTGCCGCATTCTGCATTAGTTGTAGTCACCTTCAAAGGTAGCCTCACACAGAGCGCATTGCAGTAGTCCAAGCGGGAGATAACTAGAGCATGCACCACTCTGGCGAGACAGTCTGCAGGCAGGTAGGGTCTCAGCCTGCATAGCAGATGGAGCTGGTAGGCAGCTGCCCTGAACACAGAATTGGCCTGTGCCTCCATGGACAGCTGTGAGTCTAAAATGAGTCCCAGGCTGCACATCTGGTCCTTCAGGTGCACAGTTACCCCATTCAGAACCAGAGAGTCCTCCACACCTGCCATCCCCCCAAAACAGTACTTCTGTCTTGTCAGGATTCAGCCTCAATCTGTTAGCTGCCATCCATCCTCCAACTGCCTCCAGACACTCAAAAAGGACCTTCACCGCCTTCACTGGTTCTGATTTGAAAGAGAGGTAGAGCTGGGCATCATCCGCATACCGATGAACACCCAGCCCAAACCCGCTGATGATCTCTCCCAGCGGCTGCATGTAGATGTTGAAAAGCATGGGGGAGAGGACAGAACCCTGAGGCACCCAACAAGTGAGAGCCCAGGGGTCTGAACACTCACCCCCCACCACCACTTTCTGAACATGGCCCAGGAGGAAGGAGCAGAACCACTATATAACAGTGCCCCCAGCTCCTAGCGCCTCTAGACAGTCCAGAAGGATGTCATGGTTGATGGTATCAAAGGCTGCTGAGAGATCCAGCAGAACTAGGAAACAGCTTTCACCTTTGTCCCTAGTCCACCAGAGATCATTGACCAGCGTGACCAAGGCAGTTTCAGTCCCATGATGAGGCCTGAATCCCAATTGGAAGGGATCCAAATGGTCCGCATCCTCCAGGCGTGCTTGGAGTTGTTCAGCAACCACCTGCTCAGTCACTTTGCCCAAGAATGGAAGATTTGAGACTGGGTGATAGTTGTCCATACTGGCCATGTCCAATGATGTTTTTAAAGACGCGATTTAATAACTGCCTCTTTCAGCGGTTCCGGCAAAGCTTGCTCACAGAGGAAAGCATTCACTATCCCCCCGGAGCCCATCACCTTGCCCTTCCCAGCTCACTTTTATGAGCCAGGATGGGCAAGGATCGAGGAGACAGGTGGTCAGTTTCACTCATCCAAGCAGCCTGTCCACATCCTCGGAGGTAACAGATTGGAACTGATCCCATGCAACTGGAATAGACAGGACTCTAGCACTCTCCTGCCCCAGCCCTGCTCCCATGATGGCGTCTACCTCTTTCTGAATCTGAGCGGCTTTGCCTGCAAAAAAGTTGCAAAATCACTGCAGGAGATCTTGGGGTTGTTACCAGGCCCCAATGGTGAAGGTGGTTCTGTTAAGATTGTGAACCACCTGAAAGAGTCTCCTGCTGCTGTTTTCTGCAGATGCAATAGAGGCAGTGAAGAAGGACCTCTTCACCGTCGCTATTGCCACTTGGTAGGCTCAACGTTGAGCTCTAATCCGTTTCTGGTCTGATTTCCACCACTGGCGCTATTGCCACCTCAGTGATTGTTTCATCACCCTCAGCTCTGGGGAAAACCATGAGGCTGCCAGGCTCCATGCAGTTGGAGAGAGCGCTTTGGAGCCAGACAGTCGATAGCTCTGGTTAACTCTGCATTCCAGCGGGCCAGAGGGGAATCAGCTGAAAGGCCATCAACATGAGATAAAACATCCCCTACTACACTCTGGAAACCATTTGAATCCATTAAGTGGGGGGGGGGTCCAAATCAGTCCCACCTCCCTGCAGAGGGAAAGGGTTGCGGCACCAGGAAGTGATCTGACCATGGCACTTCTTTTGTTGCGCTTTTACTTAGTGTCAGATCACCCACATCCATAGAGGTGAACTCCAGGTCTAAGGCATGTCCGCAACAATGAGTTGGGCGAAATTCATTCAGGGACATCCCCATGGAGGTCATGCTTTCCCACGAAGTCCCAAGCAGCGTCTTGTAAGGTCGTGTCAGCATGAATGTTAAATCCCCTAGGAAAACCAAACTAGGTGTCTCCAGGAGAACATCCGCCACGACCTGAAGCAGCTCAGGCAGGGAACCCTTGATAGAGTGGGAAGGTCAGTACACCAAAAGGAATCCTGTACTGCCCCTGTTGTCCAACTTCCAGAACACACACTCAGAAAACTGGGTCTTCCCAATAGGATGCCTGGTGCAAGCTATTGACTTCCTAAAACTCACTGCAACCTCGCCTCCCCGCCCATATGAGCTGGGTTGCTGTGTGTAAGAGAAACCTGGTAGACAAGCAGTGGCAAGGACAGGCCCATCTTCTTCATCCAGTCAAGTCTCTGTTACATATGCCAGGTCAAGTCCTCCATCCTGTCGTGTATCTCAGTGGTCTTGTGAATCATTGACCTGGCACTGCACAGCAGCACCTTCAGGTAATGTGGGTCTCCCTTGTTGAATCCAGTATCCTTGTGGTCAAGACCAGACCCAGAGGCAGGGATAGTCTTCAAACAACAACTAAACCTGCCTCCTCGTTAATGACATGGTCTGGTCTTAGCGTAACTCCTCCTCCTACCCATGATCACTGAGATCAGGTGTCCAAGTGCACCCCAGCCATTCTGTTGACTGGGGCCCACTCCCAGACAGCCCTGACCCTCTCCCCTTCAGAACAGAATACAAACTATACAATGAATCCAATAAAGCAGTAGAAAGCAACAACAACAACAACAACAAACAATTTATAATTATACTAAAGTTAAACTAATCCCCAGGCCCAACTAAACGTTTATTCCCCCCCCCGACAGAGCAAAAACAAAACAAAAAACCCAAATTTTAAACACCACAGATTAAAAATTAAAAATTTAAAAGCATTTAAAAGCATTTTCAACATTTGCCCCAACCCCAGAGTTTGTTCCAGTGAGTCTGGACTTTTCAGGACTCACAGCAGGGCTGTGACCCAGAACTAACGAAACATATGAAGGTCACTCACTGATCACCTGGCTTCAAAGTCTTATATGTTATATTGTGCTTTTAATATTCTGTTGGGAGCCACCCAGAGTTGCTGAGGAAACCCAGTCAGATGAGTGGGGTATAAATAATAATAATAATAATAATAATAATAATAATAATAATAATGCTGTTTGAGCCTAATCATTTTGTTAAGAAACATGATAGAATATAAGATGGCATAACCCAGACCTTAGTTTGGCAACCGCTGTTTTCTGAAAAAAATATGTGATCACATGCAACCGAAGAATGAAGGTTGACTGCAGAAAAAGATTCTGCTTCATGGTATGATTGGAAGTGTCCTTAAAGGATCAATAAGTTGGACCACTTCTGGTCAGATCTCCAGAGATATTGACTTGTGAACCTTAGTACAGAGAAGCACCAGGCTGAGAGTGTATCCACTCACTGGCAGAGGAAGAGGAGTGAGAGGGGAGTGTCCTGCCCCTGGCAGGGCGATCCGGGCAGGGTGCCATCGTGGCTTCCCCCCACCAGTGCTGGGCGCCCCAGCCCCGCAAGCGGTGCCCCCTGCCCCCAGGATGTGCACCAGCCCCTGCCCCACCTGCTCTCCGCCCCCCCTGGTGCCAGAGCATGAAGCTCTGCCACTGTATTCACTCAACTAATATCCAGAGTAAACCTTTCAAATGAATGGACCATCAATAGCAATGACTATCCAAAGTATATTGAGTTTGATCATTTTGATTATTAAAGTCAGATACTACCCTTTAAAATACTTGAAACTGATGGAGTGATAGGCATGAAACCTTTTTTTTATCAGTCCCTACAAATTGCTTGCTTACCTGCATCCTTTAGCAGATGCACACAATATTCTTCATTCTTGTAGTTGTCTGGGCGATGAGAATCCCAGCGTTTGTAATTGTAGATCTCGTCATCCAACCATCTCCAATGTCCTTTCTGCAGCAATGTGATAGAACAGATCATACATTCATTTGAAACGAGGAGGCCAATGCAAAGATCACGTGGAGAGTTGGCCAGTTATGAAGCTATTACAAGTTATGATGGAGATACAGTTGTACCTTGGTTCTCTAATGGAATCCTTTCCGGAAGCCCGTTCAACTTCCGAAAACGTTCAAAAACCAAAGTGTGGCTTCCAATAGGCTGCAGGAGCTTCCTGCACTCAATCAGAAGCTATGGAAGTCACATCAGACGTTAGGGTTTCAAAGAACGTTTACAAACTGGAAAACTCACTTCCGGGTTTACGGTGTTTAGAAGCCAAAACGTTTGAGTCACAAGGTGTTCAAGAACCAAGGTACGATTGTATTTGTAGGAAAAAGCACTGGGACCTAATTTGAATAGTAGAGTGCTTGGTATCTGGTGGGCGGGACTTGTGTGTTTTGCTCCGGACACAAGTCCGGAGCCCCTCCCTTCAGTGTCTGTGTTCCGTTAAGAATATCAGTTAAGAGGGACCAACTGCATCTTCTCGCTTCTTGCCTCAGACTAGCCTCATGTTGTTGTATTTAGTTTCTCTTATTTTGTTATTTTGTTACAGTTTTCTTTATTATTCAAAGCTTAGTTTACATTTACGTGAGCCACTTATTTTCCTCAAAGAACATTCTCTCTGCTGGAGAATGGTGGAACATCCTAAACTTGGGTGAGTGAGGGGATATTATTCCCAGTTTGCCAGGAGGATTGAATATGTTAATCATCTCCCCACTTCCACAGCAATATTAGAGGAGGATTCTATTAGAAAATTGTGGAAAAGTCACATATTGGAGTCATCTGGGGAGACGATTCGGGTAAGGATGGAATGGTGATGCTAAGAAGCCGTTACTCAGTGACAATGGCCTGAAATTGAGAAAGTAAAGGCAACTCACCTCAGTGGGATCATGCAGCCCAATCCAGACCTGGCTTGCATTTTTCTGGTTTGCATAGATGTAATAGGCCACCACATCTGACTCTTTCTCATTGAGGATGGAGGCAAGATGGGTCCCACAGCCATAGCTCAGGCACTCATTCTGAGAATAGCCAAGCAAGTAAATAAGCTCCACCACTATTGCTAACACACACACACACACACACACACACACACACACACACACTCTTTCCCACAAAGCTTTCCCAGAGTGGCTCACAACTTGTCAAATAAGTAATAACAATTATTTAAAAATCATAAAACACCAGTGGTGGAGAGTTGGAAGTTTTTCAAATGGGAACTAAAGCAGCTGAGGAAGGAAGAGAGAAAAAGGGGTGAAGAAAATGCTGTGAGTGGAGCCAGGCCCCTTTCTCCATCCTCTGGACCTGCTGGGAAACTAAAGAAACCTGCTGGACCTGCTGCACACGAGTGCAGTTAAAGGTGCTTCAAGCACTCAATCTTGGTGCAAGAAAACCACCTTGAAGCTCATACACAAAAACTAGGATGAATGCAGGAAGAATGCTCATAGTCATGATTTGGCTGCACTCTTTTCAGAAGCGGGTGGCGCTGTGGGTTAAACCACAGAGCCTAGGACTTGCCGATCAGAAGGTCAGCGGTTCGAATCCCCGCAACGGGGTGAGTTCCAGTTGCTTGGTCCCTGCTCCTGCCAACCTAGCAGTTCGAAAGCCCGTCAAAGTGCATGTAGATAAATAGGGACTGCTCCGGCGGGAAGGTAAACGGCGTTTCCGTGCGCTGCTCTGGTTCGCCAGAAGCGCTTAGTCATGCTGGCCACATGACCCGGAGGCTGTCTGCAGACAAACGCCGGCTCCCTCGGCCTATAGAGCGAGATGAGCGCGCAACCCCAGAGTCGGTCACGACTGGACCTACTGGTCGGGGGTCCCTTTACCTTTATGCAGGCATGTGGAATGTTGACCTGTGTTTTAATCTGGTTTTGTATCTTATCCTTGAATTTAACTATTATCTTAATGTTTGAAATAGTTGTTCTTAACTGTATATAGCTGGGTGATGTCAGGTTTTCAACACCATGATGTATCACCAGCCAAACATCACAATCTGGCGATACACCATGATGTTGAAACAACAATCTGTATTGGCCCCAGCCCTCAAGGCATGGGGTGAAACGGCCACAGCTCTCATTGCAAGAGATGAGGCACTTTCATCCCAACACCCTGCAGAGCTGAGGATGACACAGCTTGTTTGCGGTTCTTGGCTTGGGGGTGGGAAGGCTCCACTCCCCCCCCCCCCAGCTGAGTGAGCCCTGAGGTCCCTCCTGCTCACATGGAAGCTGGAGGGACAAAGGGGCAGAGATAGCTTGTATCTTTTCACTTGTGAGATGGTACCTTCTTGCCAGGCCATCTCTCCTGACTGTTAATTAAGCTTTCTTGGCTCCTGTGGAAACAGGTTAATTGAACACAATGGGTGAGCAACTCTCTTTTGATTATACCAAGATGCTGCCAGGTCTTGTCTCCCAACAGCTCACACTGATAGCCCTCCTCACAAAAATGTCATCTGAAACCCATGACAGCACCTGATGTGACAGCTTGGTTGGTGAGAAACAGCTTCTTACCTCAGCTTCAGACCAAGTTTTCTGAGAGTCAAAATATGCATAGCAGCTGCCCAGGGCTTTCAGCCAATTCCTGGGACAGGATCTGGCCTTTACTGTATGGAGAGAGGAGTAAAAGAAGAAAAAGATGGGGGAGGGGGACAAAAGCTGTTAGAATGCAATTTTCAATGTGGAATCCTACTTCACCTACAAATTTGCACAGATAATTTTAAGATTAATGAATGCAGACCTAATTTAAACATTCCTGCTTCCATTGGTGACTGGTACCCCATGGCACCAATATGAAATTGGGACAGAAAGCAGGGAGGCAAACAGTAAGTGGATCCAGAGTCCATGACAGGCAGCGCCACTCCCTGACTGGTTGTCAATATGAATATGAGGAGTGGTTCAGAGCAGACTGAGGTTGGTAGGGAAGTTTCCTATTCACCCTAATGGACCTGCTTCCATTGCCTGGTTATTTATTCCAACAGCCTTAGCTGGGTTACCATCACCTGGAAATCTGACAAGTAGTTTTGTTTTTATAAATGCTTAACCCCAATTAAAATTTCTGGGGAATTCCCAGATAATTGTTAAAGCACTCACCTGCTGGGAATGAATAGGAGACCAGGAAACCAAGAAGGCAAAGGTAGGTGACAACCCCCATCTTCTGGTTGACCTTCAGTGGAAGGAAATGTGCAGCAAATTAAAAACTTATCCTTACTTATTGGCATTGTCAATGTGGTGATAGCAGGAAGAAGTAAATCGGTATTTTCTGTTCTTAAAATCATAAATGGGAAGATTAGAGAAAGAAGAGAGAACCCAAAACTTAAAGTTGGCGATTGGTGAAGTATCATGGAGTCAAATAAGGTTTGTGTGCAGAGGCACCTAGTGCTGACCATGTTCCATCTTCTGGTTGACCTTTTATGGAAGGTCAAAACCTATCCCCACTGATTGCCATTTCGTCCATGTGGTGATGGCAGGAAGAAATAAAATAGTATTTTATACTCTTAACATCACAATTCTCCTTCATGTGAATCTCTGAAAAATGAGAAGAGAAGGAAAAGAATGGAGAAAGACGAGAAGGTTAGGGAAAGAAGGGAGAACCTAAAGAGTTTGCCATTGTTGAGGAATCACAGATCCTGGATTCTGGACCAGTGGAGGCTGGTGTCCATTGGGACTGGTAGGATTTGTAGGGCAGACGGCAGTAAAACCAATGGTAAGTGGCGGCAGAGTCAATGACAGGCAGAGCCAAGCAATTCTGGTTTTGTTCTCTTTCCCCTCCAGGGACAACAGGTAGAAGGAAGGAACAGATGTAAGAAAGAACACACAACACTGGGACTTTCTGAGGGCAGGTCTTGCTTTGTGGGGCTGTGCCCCATTCGTCCTAGCATACCTGCCTCCACTGTTTCTAGACCAGGGATGCTAACTTGAATAAAATATTGAGGCAAGTAAGCCCCGCTCCCATAATTGATCACAAGACGCAGCACACAGACACCATTTGAATGGCAGTGCCCATCAACTGGGGGAGGGCTGGCCCCTTCAAATATTTTATGGGGAGTGAAGGGGCCTCAGCTCCTAGCAGTTGGCTCCGATGTTCTAGACTAAAGCAGTATTAACATTTATGGAAAGCCTTTTAGTTGTTAATCAGTTGCTCTTGTCCCTCTTTTGTTTTATGGGAAGAACAATACAGTGGTACCTCGGGTTAAGTACCTAATTCGTTCCGGAGGTCTGTTCTTAACCTGAAACCGTTCTTAACCTGAAGCACCACTTTAGCTAATGGGGCCTCCTACTGCCGCTGCACCGCCAGAGCACAATTTCTGTTCTCATCCTGAAGCAAAGTTCTTAACCTGAAGCACGATTTCTGGGTTAGCGGAGTCTGTAACCTGAAGCGTATGTAACTTGAAGCGTATGTAAGCTGAGGTTCCACTGTAATAACCCTCAGGTTGGTGGGCTGCCTTAAGAAAGTTAAGAAGGAGTGGAGGTGCCTCTATGTCAGGCTGCTGTCAGTGGCTCCCAGCTAGTTGCCCAGAAAAGTATAAAGGCAAGGAAAAGTTTCTTACAGTCCTTTTTTATTTCAAACTTTACAGAGAGAGCCTCTTGGATAATGGAGTTGTCCTGAATGAATCTCCACCTCCTTCTCTCCCACTTCCTCATTCATCATCATCATCTTCTTCTCTACAGGTGCCACTAAGTGTCCTCTGTCCTTCGAGCTCTTTGTTCTCCCACTTTTAAGGCCTGCCTGGTTCTGGGAGGTGGTGGATCTGGACTGCTGTCTAATGACAACGTGTCAGCCAGCTACTGCTCTGGCTCTGCCTGCTCCTCTTCTCCCATTATTTCCCAACTTTCCCCCTCTGGCTCGGAGCTCTGACCTCCCACAAACCACTATTGGAAATCTATATTGTCTCCCTCCTCCTCCTCCTCCCTGGAAGGGACAGGATGGGAAGGTGGTCTCCACCCCTCCTCCTCCTTTGCCCAGTCCCTGACACTCTATTCTGGAAGAGAAGATCTTTGTTGGCAGAAGGGAACAGGGAGCTCAGGGAGCAAAAGGTAATTCCCTGGTGGTAGCCCCAGAAACAGGCAAAGGAAGGACAGAGATTGCTTTGGATTTACTTGATCCAGTCTTATTGATACATGCAAGAGGCCCCAGGGGCGGGACATCATCAGCACCTGCCTGCAAATGGTGTAACTAATTCTCCCCCTCCATTGGAGCCAATGAAGGGCAACAACGTACAAGTTAATAGTTAGCAAATGGTCAGGAAAATGGAATAAACTGCCTTGGGAATGCAGTCATACACAGAACAACTGTGTCTCAGGCTGCTGGGCTCATTCTTATATAGAGCTGGGCTAGGGCAGGGCATGGAAAGGCAGGAAGAAAGATGAACCATTTACCCATATATGGACTGGTCGAATGAACAATGCAGCATCCCAGGCCTTGTCAGTGGTCACTGCTAGGATATAGTTTCGCTCCACCTTTAGAACAGGCATGTAGAGTTGTTGTATGTCACATGTCAGTTTACTTCCAGGAAATTGAGGAAATTTTCATGGGACAAATCACCATCAGTTTTAGCATCTAAGGAAGGCGGGTAGTATCCCATTTCTTCAAAGGCTGTGCTTCCTTAAAATCTGGTTTCAGTTCCTCAAAGTGCGAACCAGCAGCCACATTGTCAGAACAGACATGGTGGGCAGTGCAATTCGACAGCCACGGAATGTGTAGAACGATGCAATACAGTCCAACCTTGGTTTCCAAATCCAATCCATTCTGGGAGTCCGTTCGACTCCCGGAACAGTTCGAAAACCAAGGCACAGCTTCCAATTGGCTGCAGGAGCATGCTCCAGCCAATCGGAAACCACTGAAGCCGTGCCAGACATTTGGCTTCCGAAAATCATTTGAAAACCAGAACAATCACTTCCGTTTTTTGATCATTCAGGAGCCTAAAAGTTTGAGTTCAAAGGCTTTCGGCTTCTGAGTTTCCACTGTACTAGAATACAGCATGTGTAAAAATGCCTATATACATGAAAATAGCATTAGAAATGCATTACAGAAAGGAGAAATGATTCCAAAATAAGCACATTGGAAGAAGTTCACTGATATTCTGGTTTTTAAAAAAGAAAATCGCAAGCTGATGTGAAAGACTGGAAGAGACCAAAATTGTCAGATTCGCTCATCCCGACGGGCAACTTACCCAAGCTCCGTCCTGTTGAGGATATGGATGCTGCTTCCTACAGTGGCAGGTCTGTGTCTCAGGCTGCTGGGCTCATTCTTATATAGAGCTTGGCTAGGGCAGGGCATGGAAAGGCAGGAAGAAAGAGGAACCACTTACCCATATATGGACTACAGATTAAGAGAGAAAAGGCAGGTTTCAAATTCCACCGACAGCCACAGACAAATTGATTGGGTGGATATTCAGAGTAATTGCTTACAGGAGCACCAGGTATAGGGGGTGCAAGGAGCTTCAGCCCCCTTAATATTTTGAGGACCCCCCCCAATATTGAGGTGGCTGCCATCCCCCACTGCCCCCAGGTGAGTGCTCCCATGCCAGGCAGGGGCATTTGGCTTGGAAAGCAATTTCCCCTCTAGGTGCCGCCCACCACGACCGCCAGAGCGCCAGGCAGGAGGCTTGGAGGGCAATTTTTGCCCTCTGTGTGCCCCCCGCCGTGATCGCCAGAGCATCTTGGCAGGTGCCCACAGCAGGTGTGGTCCGATGGGGGGGATCTCGTGTGCACATGCCCCCCCCCAATGTTTGGCCCAACTTAGCACGTCTGATTGCTAATATGTTTATCCTAATGCCAAGTTCCCTCTGCTGCTGCATTCACATTGCCACAAACTCACCCCAGTCCCATCCATGTTAGTTGTGTCTTACTACACAAGAATGACAAGCCCCTGTATTTACTGGAACCAAAATCTGCAAGGATATCAGGTTTGACCTTTTTGTCTTTTGGTGTGGCCCTAATGAAGATATGTTTCCCCCTCACCAATAATCCCTAGAGGTGATTGGAGGTTACATAATATACCGGTAAATAAAAAACGGAAAATGCAATTAATCATAATTCTTACAGTCACATCTTAATGTTGTTTAGGAAATGTATTCATTGTTCTAATGAGCTATGGCTGACAAAAATGACCATACACTCAACAGTAGACTAGTTACCTTGGCAAAAATAACCATACACTCAACAAAAGAGACTAGTTAGCTTGGCAACTATATCAACTGAACCTGCTAAAGCACGGGTAGGCAAACTAAGGCCTGGGGGCCGAATCTGACCCAATTGCCTTCTAAATCTGGCCTGCCGACAGTCCAGGAACCAGCGTGTTTTTACATGTGTAGAATGTGTCCTTTTATTTAAAATGCGTCTCCGGGTTATTTGTGAGGCATAGGAATTTCTTCATTTTTATTTTTATTTTCCAAAATATGGTCCGCCCCCCCCCCACAAGGTCTGAGGGACATTGGACTGGCCCCCTGCTGAAAAAGTTTGTTGACCCCTGTGCTCAAGCGTCTGAACTTCACCTGAAAGAATTGGCAAATTGTGCTTTCCGATTTTCCTACAAGAAATATTTTTGAAAATTGAAGTTAGAAATTGGGGAGGGAGTTGCATGTACTATGCCGTGCAGGGCCACCCAAGATGGACAGGTCATAGTGGAGAGTTTTGACCAAATGTGATCCACCTGGAGCAGGAACCGGCAAGCCACTCCAGTATCCCTGCCAAGAAAACTCCATGGACAAAGAAGACAGGAGTGCCTGGCGTGCTCTGGTCCATGGGGTCGCAAAGAGTCGGACACCACTAAACGACTACAACAAAGAGCACAAATAGCCTAACACCAGCACTGCCTACTAAACAGCTATGAGCCCAGAAGAAAATCTCTTATTGGTGCCAGTCCTCATTTGCTACCATTGTAGGGCTAACAGCATTTTGTGCATGCCTGTGACATCAAACACATGCCTAGCACTGTGCATTCCAAGCAGTGTGATCCTAACATCCCAAGTGCAGAGGAGGAGGAGCTGGTTCTTGGGTTGCTTGGAGTACACCACGTCAGGAGGAGCTGAGGCCTCTTTCTCTGGCAGCTGCAGAAGGAGAGGCAGCCACAGACGTCACTGCCCTGCGCATAACCTCCTCCAACCCCTGAACATTGAAGGGGCTCAGCTATGGCCCCAGAATTATTCAGGGGCCCCAAAGTGCTCAGCCACAGACACACCCTGAGCTGGCACTTCCAGAAGGAAATAAATGGCAGAAAACTAAAAAGTATCTATGGTGGCCTGATGCAAAAGTTGACTGGGCTCCTGCCAGAGGCTGATTTGGGGGAGCATGACTGGTTCGGTTACCCTGAGCATGGAGCCCTGGGGGCACCTCAGATTTGGCCCACAATGATGATGTAGAACGGAGGGCAAAGGGGTGCGGGATTTTGGCATCACACAAGGCACTGCTGAAATGGGAGACCCCCAAGGTCTGCCATTGGTCCTGTGCATCTAAGTTCTGCAGAAGAAGAAACTTGAGCAGCTGCAGCTCATTGCACAAGCTCTGCAAACCAACGTCATGGTTGCCAATGCGTGTGCCACCATTATAGCTAAGTCACACTGGTTGAGAAATATTGGCAGATGGTTTGCTGGTCAGATTGAGATAGTAGTTTACAAAATCCCTGCAATGTACCCCAGTGTTCTTATCTCCATATTTGCACAGAAAGGCACCTTATGAATAAATGAATTTAGTCTTGCTGCTAATCCTTAAAGCCCCCTAGAATTGTATGGGCACCATTCTGCTGCCCAAATCCCAGACGCATCCTACCTTACACTTTCTGAGTACCTTGGCAGCTTGGATCCCTCTGAAAGAACAGTTCTGGATGGTTGAGAGGTGGGATATCAGTATGATATATGCATAGTTTGGGGAATATAAATCTGAGCAAGATGAGGGCACTGTGAGTAAGTGGTTCCTGTATCCGAATGGGTGGAGTTGCACTTCCTCTGAAGGAGCAGGTATGCAGTCTGAGGATGCTCCTTGATCCCGCTTTCTCACTGGAAGCCCAGATATCCCCTGTAGATCAGAAAACAACAGGTTCAACAGTGGGTTGGTGCAATGCACCATATACGAGGCTTCCCTCACACTTGAGCTGGAAGCTGGTTACTGCAAAATGCTGCAGCACAGTTGCTGACTTATTATTATTATTATTATTATTATTATTATTTACCCCGCCCATCTGGTTGGGTTTCCCCAGCCACTCTGGGCGGCTCCCAACAGAACACTAAATACAGAATAGAACTTCAAATTTTAAAAACGTCCCTAAACAGGGCTGCCTTCAGATGTCTTCTAAAAGTCAGGTAGTTGTTTATTTCCTTGACATCTGATGGGAGGGCATTCCACAGGGTGGGTGCCACTACCAAGAAGGCCCTCTGCCTGGTTCCCTGTAACCTCACTTCTCACAGTGAGGGACCCGTCAGAAGGCCTTCAGAGCTGGACCTCAGAGTCGGGGCTGAACAATGGGCGTGGAGACATTCCTTCAGGTATGCTAAACCGAGGCTGTTGAGGGCTTTAAAGGTCAGCACCAACACTTTGAATTGTGCTCGGAAACGTACTGGGAGCCAATGTAGCTCTTTTAGGACCTGTGTTATATCTTCTCAGTGGCCATTCCCAGTCACCAGTATGGCTGCCGCATTCTGTATTAGTTGTAGTTTCTGGGTCACCTTCAAAGGTAGCCCCACACAGAGCACATTGCTGAAATCCAAGCAGTTCCACTGCTTAGAGATCTGCAATGCTTGCCAATTTGCAACTAGAGACCATGTTCAGTGCAGGCTTATCCAAACTACTGCTTGTCCAGTGGCTAGAAAGCACGGGTCTGAGCAGTTTTCCACTTTACCCATGTTTTCTAGGCACATGTCCAAGTGGTTTTCCCTTTGCCCTACTCTCCAGCAAATAGGTGGGGCCATTCTCCCAGCTCAGTAGGCAAAGATAGAATTTGGAATAGAGTTTGGGAGTTGTGTGACCTAGAAGAAAGCCGGAGAGAGAGTCAGAGCAAAGTTTGAGAGCCGTGTTTGATTTCTGCTTGAATCCAAGCTTGTGGCAATGACAGAAACAAGAACCTTTTGTTGACACTGTGAACTCCTGCATCCTAGGCTCAGGTTGTATACATGTATAAATGAGCCCTATATCATAAAGACATTACAGTCGCCGCTGTGCCTCATTGTCCAAAAGGAACCACAAACTCCGGGTAAGTGCCCAGAACTCCTGGAATCTCACACTGCTTGGAGAGTTGAGTGGTGTGCAACAATTTTAAGCCTGAACTTTTTGCGGCTACTTTTCCTGAGGGATCAGTGCTCAGTGCATAGATTGGAAAACACCTATGGCTTTTTAAAATAACTTTTATTTTAAAAAAAACAAAAACGACCAGAAGCTTTTTTATTAGGAATTGTAGGTGCTGATATTCCAAAGGAGCAGGAAAGACTTTTTATGTATGCAACAACAGCCACATGGATGCTGTTAGCCCAGAGATGGAAAGAAGACAAAGTCCCTACCAGAGAAGAATGGCAAAACTGACCAGAAAGCTCAGGAACTAAGAATACCAAAACTTCAATAAAGAATGGAGGGGAATTTTAATTTACTTGAGAGACCACTGTAAGCAGATAAAAACATTAGCAGGATTACAATAACACTTGTAATGTAGAAGATATTATGGATAAAATGGAGAGACCTAAAATGATGAGATAATATGCAGTTGAAAAGGTTTATAATAGGACGCATGGAGGGAAAGGTGGGAAGTCTAGAGATTTGGAGAAATCTCCAAATATGGATATGTATTTTGTATTGTTATAATTGTAAAATCAAATAAAAATTATTTCAAAAAGAAGAAAAGAAAAGAAAATACCTGTAGAGTTAAAATCGAGATGTGGAAATATGGAAATATCGATGAGATTTGGACATGCTTCAAGTTTCAGACTATGGGAAGTCATAAAATTAAAAATTACAATTAGGAAGATAATTTGACCTTTTTTATTTTATTTTTTTATTTTTATTGGATTATGATTTGATATGTCAATTGGATGTCTTTTATTGGAAAATTAATAAAAATGATCTAACAAAAAAAGAAAAGAAAACATCTGTGACTTGAGGTTACCTTTGGTAATTTCCATCTTGGGCCGGCCCTGCTATTCAGTGTCAAGGGTGGCCAGAGGCAAAAGGTGGCAGGGCTCCTGCACATCTAACAGTGTCCTGCAAAAGAAGGGATTTGAGCAACTGTAGCTCATTGTGCAAGCCAACTATGTGGTTGGCCATGCCTGCTCTACCACTATAGCCAAGTCACCCATGTTAAGAAATAGTTGCAGCTGGTTTGCCATACAAAAGCATTTGCGCAACTTTTGATAAGGATCATGGGGCATGGCTGACCTTGTGGTTTCCAACAGTTATTTGCAATTATCCACACTTGGGAGAGAAATAACAGCTTCTAACATCCCTTGAATTGCAGCTTGGTGTAAATTACAGGTTGGAAGTCTGGTTGAGAGAGTTTATTTATTTCGTAAAAAATTATACACCGTTAGATTGTGAAAAACCTCAGAGCAGTTTACCATAGATAAAACAGTGAAATCAAGAAATATTTACAGCCCTGCTTTAAAACATACAAAAGTTAAAATACCAAAACAGATCAAAATTACCACCATTATCTAAGCATATGAGTAGGCTTGTCTAAACAGGAATGTTTTTAGCAGGATGTGTGTGGATATGTAATCATATCTGTGTTATGGGTATATGAGCACCATGCGACAGTGAGAATGAACAACATTGATTCAGATCTCTTTCCAAATGGAAGCAAGGTTGTCCCCTTTCCTCTCTCCTTTTTGCTCTCTCTCTACTATAGGAAGCTTTGGCTGCATTGATCAGAGAAAATGATCTGACTCAAGGAATTAAAATAAAGGACAGGACACACAAAATAAGCTTATTTGTGGGTGGTGTCAAATCCTAAGGAGATTTGAAAGCAATCAAAGAGCCTGTTAAAATCAGTGTCAGCTAAAATGAGGGAAACTTTGCTAAGGCTTCTTCAGAGATGGTATCTCCACACCTCCAAGATTGTCCTGCCTGACTAATAATGTAGACCCCAGCTGCTGGAGGGGGTACATGATTCAAGGATCTTATCTTCATCTGTGGTGGAGTCTTGGTTGAATGTTCAACTATTCACCCGATGCGTTCAGAGAAATAAGCCCCATTTTCAATACAAATGCTTCTATGTCTCTTATGTTGGCATTACTTGGGTTATGGGAAGATAAACTTCCAAGATTATACATAAAAACCTATGGAGCTTTTTTGTGTGTGTGGCAGCTAGAATGAAAATCACTCAATGCTGGTGGAATGTGGAGGGTCTTACTTTGGACTAGGGCTGGCCCTCTTACATCTGTAATCAATAAAGTTGTGGCCTGATTTGATCCAAAAGGTAATTTTGTTCTGTCTGATTCTCTCTGGAAGTTGGGCGATGGGGGTGGGGTGCCTGACCACACAAGTACAGGAGCTGTGCTGCAGCTGACCTGTACTGACTGTTGTCCAGCAAGAGTTCATATTCATCTTTACCCTCTAGAAAATCAGTCACCATTGGAGTGGCTACTTGCTTGGTTTCTTTCAGCCCTAGGCTGTCAAGAAATTCAATAACCTTTTGCTTTTGACTTAGGAGATAAGATCCAAGCTCTTCTCTCACTATTTGAAAAAAACAGTTCCCATTTCCTTTACCTCTACAGTCGTACCATGGTTTTCGAACAGCCTAGTTCTCAAACATTTTGGCTCCCGAATGATTGAAACCCGGAAGTGACTTCCTGTTTTCGAACATTCTTTTGGAAACCGAATGACTCACAGGGCTTCTGCGGCTTCCTGCAGCCAATCAGAAGCCACGCTTTGGTTTCCAAACATTTTGGAAGTCGAACAGACTTCCGGAACGGAGTCCATTCAACTTCCAAGGTACGGCTGTACTTCTTTGCTCAGGTATTCCACAACCTCTGTATAGTCTTGGTTATTCTCAGTTACAATCATTAGATTATCCACAAATGCCAAAACGTAAGAAAACTATTTATTTTTTGCACTTGGTTTACACGCACATGTCTGCATGACCTTGTGTGTACCCCAGCTCTTTGAGCATGCTCTATAGTTTCTCATTCCATGCTCCAGCAGCATATTTTAATCCATAAAGCCCCTTCTGAAGTTTGCATACTAGATGCACTTTGGTTTGATAAAACATTGGGGCTGTTCCATATAAATCTCTTCCTAGATCTAGCCATGCAAAAATGTGGCTATAGAAGACTGGTTATCCCACACTGTGAGGACTCTCCTAATAACTCAGCACCCTTAACAAAGTGCATTTCCCAGAATTCTTTGGACGAAGCTATAACTGTGATGTAAAGAGTGCTTTAAATGTATGGTGTTGAAGTGACCTTGGTGTCAGATGTCAATGTCTGTGGTATAGTGTGTATGCCACAGAGGACAGGAAATTGCATAGGTGCAGCTAGCAATGTAGGGTTGCTTCAATCGAAGCACCATCTAGTGAAATGTTCTCTTGTACTTTCACACTTATGAAAGGAGACCCTTGCAGTCCACCTTAGGTGTTCCAAGATAAATCTCCAGCATCTACAGGTGGGACAGAGAATGTCCCCTGTCTGAATGAACCTGGAAATCCACTGCCATTCAATGTGCCTATTATTGAGTTAGATGGACCTATGGTCTGACTTGGTATAAGCCAACTTCCTATATATTTCTTGGATGATCATCTTAGAGCAGTCTGAGTGGATTGCAAAGGACAGAAACACACCAGGAAATATGTGCATCCAAGAGAATTTATTAAGTTCATAGTGGGGTATAGGCACAAGAAAAATTTGTGGAGAAGAGGGGAACCAAAGTGGCAGCTCTTCAGTTATGGTCATTTTTAAAGTGATGAATGAGAACCCCTCTTTCACTTTGAGGACTGGAAGAGGAGGTACTGAGATCAGAAAGATTTCCAGCGGGCTAGAGTCCAGCGAAGGGAACTACAATCTTCTTTAGGGTGATTGTTTACAGACAAAGGCATTTTTCTCTTTACAGGTAACAGCATCCCACTTCTCAAAATCTAAAACTCAAAAGACATGGCACAAATTATTTCTTGTTGCTCATTATTTAACGACCTGTTCCATGTGGTCTAGAGCAAACAGGAAGATTCAGATCCATCCAGGAGGCCCACCTTCTGTAGGTCACTTGAAGTGGGTGCCCCACCTGTTGATCTCCAGACATCAAACTCGAAGTGTACTCCTGATCCTAAATATGCAACTAAATTCAGCGTTTTTTTGAATATTGCACCTTTTTTATATCACTGTTCAGGGAAACAGAAAAAGGCACCAAATTCAAAAACTGCAAATGTTTGCTGCAATGGAAGAACTGGGAGCCCAATTGGTTTGTTTCAGTGTTTAGAATGAACTACCGGTAGATCAATTGAACAAAGTTCAATGAATTATTTCAAAAATCTCTGAACTGCACCTAAATTCCCATAATCCCCGCACCTGAATTTCCATAATTAAGTTCATTTTGAGGCAGAATTTTGTAACATTTCTAATTTATCTTCAAGTTCACTCCTCCTTTCCCCACCCTATCAGTCTCTTAGCTTTCAGTTTAAAAAAAAGTCAGACAGACATCTGGAAAAAAGTTAGAAAGTGAAATGTGGAGACAATGTTCTAAGGAGGTGCTGCTGTTACTAAGGACACCAGTAAATTAATCAAAGTTGATATGCAGTCAAAAAGGAGGAGTGTAAGACATTTCCTGTATCTTCCCTGCTGAGGATATTTGCTGTCTTCCAGCAGGAGCAGCTTTCAGCAAGAAGTACAGACCAATGAACAAAGTAAATTATGTTTCATGCCTTATACTGTGTGGTTTTTCTAGTATGGAAATGTTTAACCTGTTGACATTTTGCCTGTGAGACATCTTATTTCGTGTATGTGGCTCCTGATTTACCTTTTTACTTTATAACATTCTGAACACTAAAAAAAATAGCTGAGGGTGAACTATTTATGAACTGCAAAGTTGATTTGGATGAACTTGAACTGAACTAGTTTGTTGTGCAAAAGAATGAAACTGAACAAGAACTAGTTCCTTTTAAAAAATGAAGTTTCCAATCACTGGTTTGCTTATAATTCTTCCTTCAGAGCCTCAACTTGAATCCAAGTTTTCCTTCAATGCCTGACATACGATATCAGGCCCATGAAAAGCAGGCATGGTTTACACCAAAGAGCCTGGCCAGGGCAAACTCCAAGGCCTGGAAGGACTAATTAGACTTCCAGGCGAAACCTTCCCCACCCCTGGTCTGGAGGAAGTAAGTTTCTTAGAATCTCAGTTTTCATTTATGAAAAGCAAAAGCTTCTAGCCCTCATGGCTGAAATTAGTTTTGTAAAGGAAAAATAATATAGAAATCATGCTGAGTTTCAGAAGCTCCCGATTATACAATTTTGGCACCCTTTACTTAAGACTTTCCCCAGTTTCCCCACATTTGGCCCTAACAATTTCTTAAAGGAATACACTAGAAAAAAATATAATGTAACCCAGACTTTAGCAACCAATGCTTTCAAAATGTGTAGTAATCCTACACTATATTATGCAGATTGGCTGTAGCCGAAGCCTTCAGCTCCTAGTGTATTTGGAGGTAATCGTAAATGTTGAACAACTGGACAACTGCTCATCTGTCAACAGTGCAACCTACTTGTGATCCTTGCTGCAAATAAACACCTGGCTAAGGGTTGTCACCAGCTTAGTTGCATTCAGAATTAACCACCGAAATCAATGGGCCTTTGTGACTACCAGCTTGTCTTTTAATTTTAATGTGCATATTTCTATTATGATTTAGTCTAGGGTTTCCGAAACTTGGGTCTCCAGCTGTTGTTGGATTACAACTCCCATCATCCCTAGCTAGCAGGACGTCAGGGACGGTGGGAGTTGTAGTCCAAAAACAGCTGCAAACCCAAGTTTGGGAAACCCTGATTTAGTCAGAAACAACCCTAAGAAAAGTTTGGAACTGATGGAGAAAGCAGGAGGTAGTGGAGAATCCAAAACCTTTTATCTGTTCCTGCAAATGGCTTGCTTACCTTTCTGTTCCCTCAGCTCTACACAAAACTTATTTGCAACTGGAACAAACAGGCCTGGCTGATTTGCATTCCAGCTTGCGAAATTGAAGGGAGAATTATCAGCCCACTTCCACTTCCTGTTCTGCAGGAATGAGACAGAAGAGATTGTGTGATTAAAGAAGAGAGTAAAGGTAAAGGTAAAGGTACCCCTGCCCGTACGGGCCAGTCGTGTCCAACTCTAGGGTTGTGCACCCATCTCACTTAAGAGGCCGGGGGCTAGCGCTGTCCGGAGACACTTCCGGGTCACGTGGCCAGCGTGACGAAGCTGCTCTGGCAAGCCAGCACCAGCGCAGCACACGGAAACGCCGTTTACCTTCCCGCTATAAAGCGGTACCTATTTATCTACTTGCACTTCGAGGTGCTTTCGAACTGCTAGGTGGGCAGGAGCTGGAACCGAAAGACGGGAGCTCACCCCACCACGGGGATTCGAACCGCCGACCATACGATCAGCAAGCCCTAGGCACTGAGGTTTTACCCACAGCGCCACCCGCGTCCCAAAAGAAGAGAGTAGCCCATCACAAAAATGGGAGAGTTTGACCAACTGGAAATTACTGTTTGTTATGGCAGAGACATTTGAGGAGAACCCCCATCCCACCATAGAAAATAAAGGATAATTTGTGTATGGAGTTCAGACTAGGAAATTGTTGAGATAATTGCATTGCTAAAGAGCCCCATCTCTGATGACAATCAGGAACAAGCTATGTGAAAGCAGCTCACTTGCAAAGGATCATAGAGTCCAATCCAGACATCTGTGCGTGTTTTCTGTTGTGCTAAGATGTACTTGGCTACAATGGAACATTCTTTCTGATTGAGGATGGAGGCAAGATGGACCCCACGGCCATAGCTCTGGCAGTCAACCTAAAAATGGAAAAGGAATTAGAGAAGCTTTGCTACCATTATCATATCTCACCAGTAAGATTATTGCAGAGTTGGAGCTTGCCAGTGTCAGATCAATTTCCTTGCATCGAAGTTTTTAATATTTTCTGAATTAGACTTTCTTGTGTATTTTTAAGATGAACAGGTCTTCCCGGAATATTATAAGGCAATGCTGTCCCATACTAACTTGTGTGATACAATGTTATTGAGCCTGTCAGTGTTTTGCTGGAGGAATTTAAGCACATACCAGAAAATGTTACGTTTGCACAATTAGAGTGCTTTAAAGCATCATCGTGGCACAATAAATCTACTTCTAAAAAGAAACAAAAAAGAATTGTGGCTAGGAAAGTGATGGGGAAGTGGAATGAAAAATATGGGATCTTTGGAAGAAGTATAAACACTCCCACAAGCAACTCAGGATGAATATTCAGTGTTCTATAATCTCCCTGCAAACAAATCAGAATGAATGGGTGAAAAATATGCAATCCAACCCTCATGCAAACTGCAAGAGAATCAGGATGAATACCCAATGGATAGGTCATCTGGAAGAGCCTTAAATTTGTCTTTGTACAACCCCAGATTCAGAAGCATCTTTATTTGCAATTTTACAAACATTTCAGGGAAAGAGAACATATGGTTGGATATATACAATGAAACTTGACCTTGAGGGATTGGCTTTGGAATGTCTGTTCAGTAGAAGAGCAACGTGGGGGCGGTCCGCCCCAGGTGTCATCCTGAGGGGGGTGACATTCGGTGTGTCAAGCCTCCTCCAACTCCTGAGCTGTCAATATGAAGGGGGAAGACCGCCAGCAAAGTGGCACAGCTCTCCCCCTTCCCCCGACGGCTCGGGGGAGAGTCGCGGGTTGGCGGCTAGCCCCTGAGCATGGCTAGCCCCCTGGGATGCACATGGCTAGCCCCACCCCCGGGTGCACAGCATGTGTGCCGCTCCAGGTGCCAGAGCACCTAGCTCTGCCTCTGTGTCTGCTTTGTTTCTGCTTGAGCTCTGCAACTCAGATGATCAGACTCCATCTAACCAGCTGAGTTCCCTTCCTTTTGTGGTCAGCCCTCTTTTGTTAATTGAAAAGTATCAGCTAGATATTGTCATGGGACTGCCCATGCTGATTGCCTTTCTCATTGTATTATGCCTTGGTTGGTGAGAAACTCCTCTTACCTCAGCATCAGCCCATGTCATCATCTTTTCAATATATGCATAGCAGTTGCCCTGATTTTCCAGCCATCCATTAGGACAGGTAGCCTTGGCTGTTTTAGAGAGAAGGAAATGAGGGGAAATAAGGGATTAAAACAGTAAGCAGGTTGTTCTGAGTGCGACATTACGTATACCATTGGTGATTCCATTTAGAAAGCACAAGTTATTTAGAAACCAGTGACTAGAGATCTTGTTAATATTAGAAGTTTAATTTGCATAAAATGTATGCATTGAAGTTTAAAGGTCTGTAAATGTTTGCATTTGCAAAGCAGGGAAGTTTGCATTAAGCAAGAGGTTTCACTCTAGCTGAAAGCGGAATGCTGGTGTTTTTCCATTTAAGAGGGTTTGGCTTACCTGATCACTCTTCTCTGGAAACCCAAGTAGATCCCTCATCAGCAGGAAGTTGAAACCTGAGAAACTCAGTATCTTTGTGTTGTGGGAAGCCAGCAGAGAGATTGCCAGCTCAGCGTGTTGGGAGAAGGAGCCTCCAGCATAATGGAGTATGTCTCTGAGATTGGACTGTATTAAAGGATTTAAAAAACTGAACTGCACTGCTGCTACTTGAGTGCAATGTGTAACTGTATTTTTGTTCTTTGTAACATTTATATGCCACTAGTTTTCAGACTGCTCTGCAGCAAAGCTTTGAAACTAATTCTTGGGATGGAAAGCTCATTTATTTCTGCACAAGGTCCAGATCAGGGATTCCGCTGACCAACTCCAATAAATTATGTCTAATTTAAACTCTCCTGCTTCCGTGTTCTAATAGGCTTAGCTTGGTTGCCATCTCTTGAAAATCCACTAAGTACTTTAATTCTCATGACTGCTTATTTTCAGTGAAGATTTCTGGGAAATTCTCAGGTGTTTGCTAAACTGCTCACCAGGACTGGAGACCAGGATTCCAAGAAGGCAAAGGCTGAAGTAGGTGACAAATCCCATCTTCTGACTGACCTTTTGGAAAAGAGGAATGTACAGTCAATTCAAGCAGTGTGTTGTCAATTTTGCCATTCAGCCAATGTGGGAAGGAAGGAAGGAAGGAAGGAAGGAAGGAAGGAAGGAAGGAAGGAGAGATAAATATTTTATATCCTATAATCACATTTCTCCTTTATTTGAACTTCCATGAACTGAGAAGCTTAAAGAAAGAAAAGAAAACCTGAACTTAACAGAATGTTAAGATCTGGAAAGACCAACTTGAAGACCAACTGCTCAGGGCAGGAATCTACACCATCTCTGATTGTCCCCAGCAGATAATAATCCAGCCTCTGCTTATATACCTATGCATTTTGCTCCATTGTCGAAGAACTCATACCTTTGTGGATTGTCTCCTATTCTTCAGCTAAAATCTACTCGCCTGAAATTTCCACCCATTTAGCTTTGTCCTATGGTGCAAGGGAGAACAAGTCTGCTCTATCTTTCTTGAGACAGCCCTTCAGATATTTGAACGCTGCTATGCTTAATCTCTTTAATCTTCATTTATGGGGGGAACACCTGAGTTGACATAGTTATGTCCTGTTTTCGAAGAAAAACTAAGATCATGTCAGCGTGTGGATGTATGAGAGGGTTTTTTTAATCCAAACTGGAAGGAAAATGTTGCATTGTTATTATTATTATTATTATTATTATTATTATTATTAAAATGTAGTGCCACAAGGAGGAAAACCGTGCATGCTGGCAATCTTGTAGGGCCATTTCACCCATTACACAGTAGCAAACCCAGCAAAGGGAAAGCCCTAGGTTGTCCCTCAATGGGGTATTTTTCTCTATAATATGTATATCCTGAATGCAACCCAAGATCAGAGGGGAAACCAGAGAGACCAAGTCTACTATGTCTACCTGTCAGGTTTCAGGGAATCTGATCCCCCCTCCCTCATGGCTGGCTGCCAGAAATGGGAAAAGAAGGTGTTCTTACCAAGATAATTTATTCAATATTCACAGAGACATAGGATGTCGCCTCTCAGATAATGGTGTTGCTCCAAATAAGTCCCACCCCTCCGTCTCTCCTATTATACATCATTCCTACATCAGCTAATCTGTGTGTTCTGCCTCTGAGCTTTCTGTTCTCCTACTCTCAATGCCCACCAGGACCTGAGAGGGGAGTTCAGGAATGCTTCCTAAAGACACTGAGTCTGTCAGCTGTCTCTCCCCTAGTTCTTTTTCCTCCTCCTGCTTGTCATCCAGTATCTCCCAGGTTCTCCCACTCTTCTAAATCTATGTTGTCTCCTCTTGGAAGGGCAGAAGAAGGGGGGAGCGGTCTCCACCATTCCTCCTCAGTCCAGTCTCCTAGGACCTCCCTGACTCCAACAAGACTGTGTCCAGAGGTGATCATCTGTGCTCTCCCCCTTTACATTTTCTATCACTTAATCATTGTCATGAGGGCAACCTGGGATCAAAGGGGCAATGCACATACACCAAGGCCAGATGGTACACCAGTCTTCAGAATTTTTTTATTAATTCAATCTATCTAGGGGCTCTCAAACATTTATCACATTCACACATGCTCTGTAGGGATATATATTTACCAAAGACTGCTGCTCTGTCTGATTAGATGGCTGTCAATGGACAGGTCCTTCAGGTGTTGCTACAAAGGTTTTCGACCCAAAACGGGTCTGTCTCCAGAGTTCTTATACTCTCTGCTCAGTCTCTTATTATGTGTCAGGTGGATGAATATGTTGATTGCAGAGCTTTTGGATTATGTGCCCCTTTTCTGGCAGTGTGATCCATCTCTATCCTTGTCCCCGTGTCTCTAGCAAAAAGGACACAATGGTCCTGCAATGTGACATTTCTTCTTCCAAGGTATATTGTTCCTTAAAAGAAAGTCCTGGTGATCTGCAATAGCCATCAGTCACCAGGACTTGCTGTTCCTCTTTGGCAACCTTGCAGGTATTGACTTTTCATTCCAAACATCCATCTATCCTTCTCTCATTCATACAAGTTGCAATGAATTACATTAAAAATAATTCATGTGATAAGTGTAGTGGAGACTTGTTATTTTGAAAATAATACCAGGTATGGTGTGCGACAATCCCCTTTTTGATCCTGAAATGTTCTTCCAGGTGAAAACCAAGGCCGAGGCATCATTTCTGAAAAATAAAGTATTGATTGAATCTACTCAGGAGCTCTCAATCATACCACATGTTCACACATGTTCTGCGGGGATATAGTACCCAAGGAGAGTTGTTATGTATATGACTGCATTCCCAAGGCAATTTATTCCATTTCCCTGACCATTTGCTAACTGTTAACTTGTACGTTACATTCAAGCATTTGCAAGCTTCTGGAAAACTAGTGGAATAAACCACAAGTTTAGCATTTATTTTTCTGCTATTTCCTTCGAGGGGGGAAATATATGTTTGCAAGCCTGGAATCCACTTGCAAGTCTGGAAGTCTGTATAGGACTATGCACCACCTGAGGCCATGCAAGTTGCTCCACAAGTGCCTTTCACAAAAGAAAGATGTTTGCAGAGCATCACACACACAAACACACACACCAGTTTGGTCAATGGGCATAGATGTAGCTCCACTATACCCTTTCTTTTAGAAAAACTGCTTGCAGAGCACTACTGGTGTGAATAAAATTTAGCTGGACATATCAGTATACAGTGTGGTGTAGTGGTTAAGAGCGGTAGTCTTGTAATCTGGGGACCGGGTTCGTGTCCCCGCTCCTCCACATGCAGCTGCTGGGTGACCTTGAGCTAGTCACACTTCTCTGAGGTCTCTCAGCCTCACTCACCTCACAGAGTGTTTGTTGTGGGGGAGGAAGGGAAAGGAGATTGTTAACCGCTTTGAGACTCCTTTGGGTAGTGATAAAGCGGATATCAAATCCAAACTCCTCTTCTTCTTCTACAGATGCATGAGCACATGACAACTGCAGATGCATGAGCACATGTAGCACTGGCCTTTTGATCAGTAAAAATAATGAAATAAACCCCTTGTGTTCAGGCAGCCCAAATAGATTCCCAGTCTAATAGCACAGAGGGTTGTTAGACTGATCTTTGGGCTGCTTGTGCAAAGGTCTTCAACCTCAAATGGATCTGTCCCTGAGGTTCTTACACTTAGTCTCGTACCATGTGACAAGCAGACTGATACAGTGTATTGTATATCTTTTGAATACACAAATGGCTACACAAATTAAAGATAATCATCTCTGGCCTTGTCTTGGTGTCTCTGTCTCTAGGCAAAAGGACGCCATGTGGTCCTGCAACGTGGCATTTCTCCTTCCAAGGAATATTGTTTCTTAAAACAAAGTCCTGGTTCTTTGAGATGGCCATCAGTCACTGGGACTTGCTTCTTCTCTTTGGCAACTTTGCGGAGCTTGACCTTTCAAATATCACCTCATTCTCTTGCCATTTATACTCAGTTTATACCTGAGTATGTTAAAATTAGTATCATTATCAAGACAACAAGCATATATCCACCAAATCTTCAGACTCGTTTTGCAAAATAGCATCTGACTTATTATGGTGTGTGACATGTATGCACCTCGGTACAAGTCATAGGTAGGGATGGAGTGGCTATACTACTGATTTTTGTTGTTCTGGGTATGATATGTGATGCTACCTCTTCATTTCTATTTATCAGGACAGCTAGATGGAACTTCCGTCTTAAGGGTCAGTAGACTTCTGATTACAAGTGAGATCCTCCTCCCCAGTGCTATTTTTCTTGAAAAAGAGGTGCTGGAACTCACCACAAACACCTCCCTTGCTCTCTTATAATGGCAATGGCACCCATCTGAGAGGTGCCGGAACTGAGTTCTGGTGAGTTCTGGCTGGAAGAAAGCCCTGCTCTTGCCCACTCCACAAAGACACACAGAGAATTCAAATCTCCATTTTTAGAGACAGTATATATCTCATTGCCAAAAAAGAAGAGGAAAAATTTGGACTCTCTTCTGGTCAGAGTTCAGGGGTTGCCAATGTGGTGCTCAGAGGCACCAGTTGCCTGCCAATGCCTTTTCTGTTATGTCATGCCCCTCATGGCAGCCATTTTGTGTTTGTACTGTTTTATTGTTGTTAGCCACCCTGAGCCCGGCTTCGGCTGGGGAGGGCGGAATATAAATAATTATTATTATTATTATTATTATACCTTTCCAGTGCTATTTCTCTAGAAAAAGAGGTGCCAAAACTCACTATGAATGCCTCCATTGTTCTCCTATAATGGGGAAGGGCACCCACCTAAGAGGTGCCGGAACTCCGTTCCAGTGAGTTCTGGCTGAAAAAAAGCCATGCCTTTATCAGCCATTTTGTGTAACATCACATGCAGCTCAGCAGCCATTTTGTGACTGGCACCCATGGCCCTATCTCATAATTACAGATATGTCCAGTAAGCCAAAAATGTTGGTGGCCCCAACTTAGTCTATTAAAGGCACCAGCAGTTCCCGGGATTCTTTATAGGAAGCCATGACTACTAAAGTTGTATAAGAGTGCTTTAAATGTGCGGTGCGGCTCTGACTTTAGTCTAGGCAGGCTAGAAATCTTCGTGTTTTGTTAGACCAAATGGAAAAAGAGCGAAGTCCCAACCAAAGAAGAATAGCAACTTAAACTGATGGAATATGCACAGTTTACAGATTTAACATAGAAGAAGAAGAAGAAGAAGAAGAAGAAGAAGAAGAAGAAGAAGAGAAGAATTTATTTATTTATACCCTGTCTAGGCTGAGCAGCTTTCAACAGAGCATTAAAAACAGAATAAAACTTCAAAAATACATACATTTAAAGAAGATTGGGAAATGTTTATTGAATATATGGGTGAAAATTGTGTCCACTTAAAAACGCTGGTAGAATTAAGATAAATTCAACAGTGTAGATAAGTTTTGATTTCTGTACTAATGGAATACTGAATGGTTATCTTATGTAAAAGGGATTTATTGTAAGCAAACTGAACCAGGGAAAGAGAAGAAGGGAAGTCATTGATTTAAGGTTGCTTAAATGAATATTCCAAAATGTGTGTGTGTGTGTGTGTGTGTGTGTGTGTGTGTGTGTGTGTGTGAAATCCCAGAACTGTCTAATTCAGGTATACAACTCCCCTACCTGCCCCGCCCTCACTGAAACTCACAACAATATTTTTCCTAATGAAAGGCTAAATGACACAGCAGAAGTCCTTGAATGATTTAGGACAAATGGCACTCCTTGTAAGAACATGGTGTTTGAACAGTATATTCCTTTTGGAACCATGCAGAGCTACAGTACATTGAGATACCATTGAACAGTTTGTCTCTGAACTCAAACTCAAAGATAGTAATTGTGGAATTGGCTCTGCAGAAACATCTGAGGGGAATGATCAGATTCTCCATCAAGTTATGGAGGCAGTCCATACTACGAACATCACGTTTAAAAGGGGTGAGATTCAGTCCAAACCTGAATCTGTGCAGTTCATGGGCCAGACAGTGACTGCAGCCATACAGCCAGAAGGGTAAGCTACTATGCAGGAAGTAATAAAACAAGATTTCCATCTTAAAGCAGGGGAAGCGCTCATAAAGCATGGATGGCCACAGTATCTGAGAGATGTGTCCTTGCTGCAAAAACCCTTTTAGCATGTAAATGACTCCTTATGTTGTCTAGAAGTTAGGTAACTGTTCTCTTTGCTGGCCACATGACCCGGAAAGCTGTCTGTGGACAAACGCTCCCTCGGTCTGAAAAGCAAAGGTAAAGGAAAAGGACCCCTGGACAGTTATGTCCAGTCAAAGGCGACTATGGGGTTGCGGCGCTCATCTCGCTTTCTGGCCGAGGGAGCGGCATTTGTCCGCAGACAGCTTTCCAGGTCATGTGGCCAGCATGACTAAACTGCTTCTGGCACAACAGAACACTGTGACAAAACCAGAGCGCACGGAAACACTGTTTACCTTCCCGCTGTAATGGTACCTATTTATCTACTTGTACTGGTGTGCTTTTGAACTGCTAGGTTGACAGAAGCTGGGGCAGAGCAACGGGAGCTCACTCTGTCATGGGGATTTGAACCACCAACCTTTTGATCGGCAAGCCCAAGAGGCTCCATGGTTTAGACCACAGGCTCCCTTAGCCTTAAAGCAAGATAAGCGCCGCAACCCCATAGTCCGCTTTGACTGGACTTAACCGCCCAGGGATCCTTTACCTTACCTTTACCTAGAAGTAAACTTTTATTTGGGAGACAGAGTGTCTCAAAGACAGAGTATCCTCTTGCAACTTATGACTCATCAGGACATTCAGATAACTAAAGCTAGAGCAAGAGGATTGATATGCAAGCTGGCATATCCAGTGATAACTAGAAGGTGGGTGGAAGTTGTTGCGCTTGTGCTAGGCTTGCTTTGAGTAATCAAAGGGAACCACATAAACCACAGGTGGTTTCTGAATTACCATGGAATATGTTGGGTGTAGATGCACTTGAACATGGCTCTCCCCCTTTTCTTCTTGTGGTTGATGTTTTTCAATATTGAGAAACATCGAGGCTGCCTTGGAAGATGGCAGTAACTGTGACTGTTAAGTTTAAAGTCGGATTACCAGATTTTTTCCCCAATGAATCCAGGGACACTTTTCAACTTCCTACTAAATAGATGGATTTTGTCAGGGGACTGATTTGTAAATCTGGGGACTGTCCCTGGGAAACGGGGACATCTGGAAACCTTAGTTTAAAGCTATGTTCATGGGTCATGGCATTCCTGGGATAGCTGTGTGTGATAATATGCCCTTCACTAAGAGTGTCGACTGTTTGCTCATGATTGGGGGTTTGAACACAGCTTTAGAAGCTGTTCTTCTGGTGGCAATTTCGTTTTTCAACAAAACCAAGCAACTGAGACTGCTAGAAACTTGAGATGGTGACCGGCCAGTCAAGTCCACCCAAGCTAGGGCTGGGGGCTCTTCTCCTTACAAAGCATATTAAGGGAGTTCGCTTTATCCATCTACGCTACCCAATGCCATTTCTACCACAAGAGTGTTTGCTGCCCATCCCAGCTACCTTTAAAAGGACCAGCTGCTGCCTTGCCCGGCCTCCTTCCTCCTTTTCCTCATGTAGAGGAGACTTACCCATTTCTCCCTCCCTTCCTCGGTTTAGAGGCTCTCTCTGGGGCTTGTAGTCGCCACCGGTTATCAGAGCCAGAAAGGAATTTAACTCCCAACAACAGTTGCCTCTAGGCTGAAATTTTTTTTGCTATGACTACACAGCAACATTATGTTCATGTTTTAAGTATTTTTTAAGAAGTGATTGTACTCAGAACCCTTTGCAGTTGTTTTTCAGGTGTGAATTTCTTTGGAAATTGGGCATACAGTTCTTGGGGAGTAGATAACAGCAATGTCAGTAAAGCCTGCCAAATGATAAACCTGAAGCAACAGAGCCTTGGAAGGTTTTTTATTGTCGTTGTTGCTGGGAGGTTTTAAAGGGCCATTATTACCCTTTGCTCAAATGATGGTGCCTACATTTGCAGACCACCTGAATGAAGCTCACCAATCAAGGACCACCATTTGGGAACCCCTAGGGGGACCATTGTGTTTTTCTGTTCTGCCTTTAGCCAAAAGAACACAAATGCAACAGACAGCAACATTTCCAGTGATGTGTTGTCTTTCCCAGTCCTAACTGGAGATGCCAGGAATTGAACCCAGAACCTTCTGCATGGAAGACACATGCTCTGCCACTGAACTACTGTCCTTTGTAGGGATGGGGAGAGACAGAGAAAAGCGGTGGGATTAAATTTGGATTGTGGGTGGAAGAAAATGAATTTTGAGCTGGGTAAGAGGCATGGAGAAGGAGAAAGCCCCAGTTTCCAGTTTTAAAGTAATCTTTACTTTAAAGTTCTAGTATCTCAGTAAGATAAGCAAGATGAGAGTTTGGTAATGTCTCCCTGAAGCCATCCTGGTATAGCAACAATGCTTGCTCTCGCACAGAGATGAAGAAGCCGTAGAAAGCAAGAAAATGAACAGGGTGCCTCTAACGTTTCTTTGTCACTAGGTGGCAGCAGAAAGCAAGGATTGAATTCTGTGTTGGTTGGGGAATCATCAAGAATGTTGATCAGTATACAAATATGAAAAGTTGCATTTCCACAAATAAGTGCTGTGCTTGGTTCATTTCATTCACAAAACCAGGCTTTTAACACCAATTTCTCTATTTATGAAAACAAATGGACTGACATTTTTATTTTTATTTTTGCATGCCGCATCAGAGACAATAAAGTCAAGACTGGAAGTGGGGGGTATTTACATTTTAGACCAGGAGTGGGGAGGGGGTGTTTTATCAGCCTAGGGGGCCACCGTTCCTTCTGTTCAAGCTTCCAGGGGCTCCTTGCCAGCAGTGGGCATAGCAACAAATAAAAATCTTATCTTTGTGTTGTAGGTTATTTTCTACACACTCGTTGTTGTTGTTTAGTCGTTTAGTCGTGTCCGACTCTTCGTGACCCCATGGACCAGAGCACGCCAGGCACTCCTGTCTTCCACTGCCTCCTGCAGTTTGGTCAGACTCATGTTTGTAGCTTCGAGAACACTGTCCAACCATCTTGTCCTCTGTCGTCCCCTTCTCCGTGTGCCCTCCATCTTTCCCAACATCAGGGTCTTTTCTAGGGACTCTTCTCTTCTCATGAGGTGGCCAAAGTATTGAAGCCTCAGCTTCAGGATCTGTCCTTCCAGTGAGCACTCAGGGCTGATTTCCTTCAGAATGGATAGGTCTGATCTTCTGGCAGTCCATGGGACTCTCAAGAGTCTCCTCCAGCACCATAATTCAAAAGCATCAATTCTTCGGCAATCAGCCTTCTTTATGGTCCAGCTCTCACTTCCATACATCACTACTGGGAAAACCATAGCTTTAACTATACAGACCTTTGTTGGCAAGGTGATGTCTCTGCTTTTTAGGTCTCTCCATTTTATCCATAATATCTTCTACATTACAAGTGTTATTGTAATCCTGCTAATGTTTTTATCTGCTTACAGTGGTCTCTCAAGTAAATTAAAATTCCCCTCCATTCTTTATTGAAGTTTTGGTATTCTTAGTTCCTGAGCTTTCTGGTCAGTTTTGCCATTCTTCTCTGGTAGGGACTGTCTTCTTACCATCTCTGGGCTAATAGCATCCGTGTGGCTGTTGTTGCATACATAAAAAGTCTTTCCTGCTCCTTTGAAATATCAGCACCTACAATTCCTAATAAAAAAGCTTCTGGTTGTTGTTGTTGTTTTAATAAAAGTTATTTTAAAAAGCCATAGGTGTTTTCCAATCTATGCACTGAGCATTGATGCCTCAGGAAAAGTAGCCGCAAACAGTTCAGGCTTAAAATTGTTGCACACCACTCTACTCTCCAAGCAGTGTGAGGTTCCAGGAGTTAATAATAATAAGGGCAAGCTAGCAGAGATAAGAACTCTTTGCAACAGAAGTAGCGGACAGAGGAATATGTAAGCATATTTACAAGCATTTATTCAGCATCAGGACAAAGGAAAAAACATGTCTGCTTCCCTTTGTGTCCAAGCAAACAGCACAGGCAAAAGCTATATACAAGGGAAGTTCCCAGCAGACTGTGCTGGAAGTAAACTGACATGTGACATACAACAACTCTACATGCCTGTTCTAAAGGTGGAACGGAACTATATCCTAGCAGTGACCACTGAGAAGGCCTGGGATGCTGCATTGTTCATTCGACCAGTCCATATATGGGTAAATGGTTCATCTTTCTTCCTGCCTTTCCATGCCCTGCCCTAGCCCAGCTCTGTATAAGAATGAGCCCAGCAGCCTGAGACACAGTTGTTCTGTGTATGACTGCATTCCCAAGGCAGTTTATTCCATTTTCCTGACCATTTGCTAACTATTAACTTGTACGTTGTTGCCCTTCATTGGCTCCAATGGAGGGGAGAATTAGTTACACCATTTGCAGGCAGGTGCTGATGATGTCCCGCCCCTGGGGCCTCTTGCATGTATCAATAAGACTGGATCAAGTAAATCCAAAGCAATCTCTGTCCTTCCTTTGCCTGTTTCTGGGGCTACCACCAGGGAATTACCTTTTGCTCCCTGAGCTCCCTGTTCCCTTCTGCCAACAAAGATCTTCTCTTCCAGAATAGAGTGTCAGGGACTGGGCAAAGGAGGAGGAGGGGTGGAGACCACCTTCCCATCCTGTCCCTTCCAGGGAGGAGGAGGAGGAGGGAGACAATATAGATTTCCAATAGTGGTTTGTGGGAGGTCAGAGCTCCGAGCCAGAGGGGGAAAGTTGGGAAATAATGGGAGAAGAGGAGCAGGCAGAGCCAGAGCAGTAGCTGGCTGACACGTTGTCATTAGACAGCAGTCCAGATCCACCACCTCCCAGAACCAGGCAGGCCTTAAAAGTGGGAGAACAAAGAGCTCAAAGGACAGAGGACACTTAGTGGCACCTGTAGAGAAGAAGAAGATGATGATGAATGAGGAAGTGGGAGAGAAGGAGGTGGAGATTCATTCAGGACAACTCCATTATCCAAGAGGCTCTCTCTGTAAAGTTTGAAATAAAAATGACTGTAAGAAACTTTTCCTTGCCTTTATACTTTTCTGGGCAACTAGCTGGGAGCCACTGACAGCAGCCTGACATAGAGGCACCTCCACTCCTTCTTAACTTTCTTAAGGCAGCCCACCAACCTGAGGGTTATTACAGTGGTACCTCAGGTTACATACGCTTCAAGTTACATACGCTTCAGGTTACAGACTCCACTAACCCAGAAATCGTGCTTCAGGTTAAGAACTTTGCTTCAGGATGAGAACAGGAATTGTGCTCTGGCGATGCAGCAGCAGTAGGAGGCCCCATTAGCTAAAGTGGTGCTTCAGGTTAAGAACGGTTTCAGGTTAAGAACAGAGCTCCGGAACGAATTAAGTACTTAACCCGAGGTACCACTGTATTGTTCTTCCCATAAAACAAAAGAGGGACAAGAGCAACAGATTAACAACTAAAAGGCTTTCCATAAATGTTAATACTGCTTTAGTCTAGAACATCGGAGCCAACTGCTAGGAGCTGAGGCCCCTTCACTTCCCATAAAATATTTGAAGGGGCCAGCCCTCCCCCAGTTGATGGGCACTGCCATTCAAATGGTGTCTGTGTGCTGCGTCTTGTGATCAATGATGGGAGCGGGGCTTACTTGCCTCAATATTTTATTCAAGTTAGCATCCCTGGTCTAGAAACAGTGGAGGCAGGTATGCTAGGACGAATGGGGCACAGCCCCACAAAGCTCCACCTGCCCTCAGAAAGTCCCAGTGTTGTGTGTTCTTTCTTACATCTGTCCCTTCCTTCTACCTGTTGTCCCTGGAGGGGAAAGAGAACAAAGCCAGAATTGCTTGGCTCTGCCTGTCATTGACTCTGCCGCCACTTACCATTGGTTTTACTTCCTTCTGCCCTACAAATCCTACCAGTCCCAATGGACACCAGCCTCCACTGGTCCAGAATCCAGGATCTGTGATTCCTCAACAATGGCAAACTCTTTAGGTTCTCCCTTCTTTCCCTAACCTTCTCGTTTTTCTCCATTCTTTTCCTTCTCTTCTCATTTTTTAGAAATTCACATGAAGGAGAATTGTGATGTTAAGAGTATAAAATACTATTTTATTTTTTCCTGCCATCACCGCATGGACGAAATGGCAATCAGTGGGGATAGGTTTTGACCTTCCATAAAAGGTCAACCAGAAGATGGAACATGGTCAGCACTAGGTGCCTCTGCACACAAACCTTATTTGACTCCATGATACTTCACCAATCGCCAACTTTAAGTTTTGGGTTCTCTCTTCTTTCTCTAATCTTCCCATTTATGATTTTAAGAACAGAAAATACCGATTTACTTCGTCCTGCTATCCCCACATTTACAATGCCAATAAGTAAGGATAGGTTTTTAATTTGCTGCACATTTCCTTCCACTAAAGGTCACCCAGAAGATGGGGGTTGTCACCTACCTTTGCCTTCTTGGTTTCCTGGTCTCCTATTCATTCCCAGCAGGTGAGTGCTTTAACAATTATCTGGAAATTCCCCAGAAATTTTAATTGGGGTTAAGCATTTATAAAAACAAAACTACTTCTCAGATTTCCAGGTGATGGTAACCCAGCTAAGGCTGTTGGAATAAATAACCAGGCAATGGAAGCAGGTCCATTAGGGTGAATAGGAAACTTCCCTACCAACCTCAGTCTGCTCTGAACCACTCCTCATATTCATATTGACAACCAGTCAGGGAGTGGCGCTGCCTGTCATGGACTCTGGATCCACTTACTGTTTGCCTCCCTGCTTTCTGTCCCAATTTCATATCGGTGCCATGGGGTACCAGTCACCAATGGAAGCAGGAATGTTTAAATTAGGTCTGCATTCATTAATCTTAAAATTATCTGTGCAAATTTGTAGGTGAAGTAGGATTCCACATTGAAAATTGCATTCTAACAGTTTTTGTCCCCCTCCCCATCTTTTTCTTCTTTTACTCCTCTCTCCATACAGTAAAGGCCAGATCCTGTCCCAGGAATTGGCTGAAATCCCAGGGCAGCTGCTATGCATATTTTGACTCTCAGAAAACTTGGTCTGAAGCTGAGGTAAGAAGCTGTTTCTCACCAACCAAGCTGTCACATCAGGTGCTGTGATGGGTTTCAGATGACATTTTTGTGAGGAGGGCTATCAGTGTGAGCTGTTGGGAGACAATACCTGGCCATCATCTTGGTATAATCAAAAGAGAGCTGCTCACCCATTGTGTTCAATTAACCTGTTTCCACAGGAGCCAAGAAAGCTTAATTAACAGTCAGGAGAGATGGCCTGGCAAGAAGGTACCATCTCACAAGTGAAAAGATACAAGCTATCTCTGCCCCTTTGTCCCTCCAGCTTGCATGTGAGCAGGAGGGACCTCAGGGCTCACTCAGCTGGGGGGGGGGGAGTGGAGCCTTCCCACCCCCAAGCCAAGAACCGCAAACAAGCTGTGTCATCCTCAGCTCTGCAGGGTGTTGGGATGAAAGTGCCTCATCTCTTGCAATGAGAGCTGTGGCCGTTTCACCCCATGCCTTGAGGGCTGGGGCCAATACAGATTGTTGTTTCAACATCATGGTGTATCGCCAGATTGTGATGTTTGGCTGGTGATACATCATGGTGTTGAAAACCTGACATCACCCAGCTATATACAGTTAAGAACAACTATTTCAAACATTAAGATAATAGTTAAATTCAAGGATAAGCTACAAAACCAGATTAAAACACAGGTCAACATTCCACATGCCTGCATAAAGGTAAAGGGACCCCTGACCAGTAGGTCCAGTCGTGACCGACTCTGGGGTTGCGCGCTCATCTCGCTCTATAGGCCGAGGGAGCCGGCGTTTGTCTGCAGACAGCCTCCGGGTCATGTGGCCAGCATGACTAAGCGCTTCTGGCGAACCAGAGCAGCGCACGGAAACGCCGTTTACCTTCCCGCCGGAGCAGTCCTTACTTATCTACTTGCACTTTGACGGGCTTTCGAACTGCTAGGTTGGCAGGAGCAGGGACCAAGCAACAGGAGCTCACCCCGTTGCGGAGATTCGAACCGCTGACCTTCTGATTGGCAAGTCCTAGGCTCTGTGGTTTAACCCACAGCGCCACCCGCTTCTGAAAAGAGTGCAGCCAAATCATGACTATGAGCATTCTTCCTGCATTCATCCCAGTTTTTGTGTATGAGCTTCAAGGTGGTTTTCTTGCACCAAGATTGAGTGCTTGAAGCACCTTTAATTGCACTCGTGTGCAGCAGGTCCAGCAGGTTTCTTTAGTTTCCCAGCAGGTCCAGAGGATGGAGAAAGGGGCCTGGCTCCACTCACAGCATTTTCTTCACCCCCTTTTCTCTCTTCCTTCCTCAGCTGCTTTAGTTCCCATTTGAAAAACTTCCAACTCTCCACCACTGGTGTTTTATGATTTTTGAATAATTGTTGTCAAGGCTGCCTCAGGTCTCAGCTCACAAAAGACCAACGCCAATCTCTTCTTATATACAAAAGTGTTTATTGCAGTTCATTGTTTGCTTCATATCCGAGGCGCGCAGCCCCACGTCTGTACGCTTAGACCGTTGAAGTCCCCTCTGAGTCAGTCCCTCCCCTGCACCAGTTTAAGAGCCTTGCGCTGCTCCACCTCTTTCTCTCTTTCCTTTTCCTCAGGGTCTTCCTGCCCGCTGGGGTTTCGCCCTCCTGGATTCCCCTGACGCGCTATCCCCCGACTGCTCTTCCCCCCTCCTGCGGGCTTTAGGACCTGGCTCTTCCTCCGGGCTCCCTGTACTTCCGCGCGCCTCTACATTTGAACTTGGCGCGCGCGCCCAACCTCTAACTTTCCTTTTGACAGTTACACTACTCCCTTCACTACTCCCCTCCCCTTCCGGGAGGGTGGCTTGCTCCGACCTCCCTCCCTTCTCTGCTGCCGGAGCTCCTTCCCCTGATACACTGGAACCTCCACCCCCTTCGCTGCACTCTGGCGGGGAGGTTGGTCCTGACGCCCAGCTGCCACTTTGGGATCCCCCGCTGGCCCCCTGTTCCTGACACGTCCCCCCTGGGGCTCCCCTGGCCTTGACCACTGGCGCCCCCTTCTGGGAATCCTCTGATTCGCTGGAAAGACTCATGGAATCTCTTGAGTCATTGTCATCCTCTTCCTCGCTGTCCTGGGATTCATCCCCATCGCTCTCCATCTCCTCCCTACCCTGTGCCTCTGTCCCTGAACCCCTGACAATTGTTATTATTTATTTGACAAGTTCTGAACCACTCTGGGAAAGCTTTGTGGGAAAGAGTCTCTCTCTGTGTGTGTGTGTGTGTGTGTGTTTGTGTGTTAGTAATAGTGGTGGAGCTTATTAATTGCTTGGCTATTCTCAGAATGAGTGCCTGAGCTTTGGCTGTGGGACCCATCTTGCCTCCATCCTCAATGAGAAAGAGTCAGATGTGGTGGCCTATTACATCTCTGCAAACCAGAAAAAGAAAAGTCGGGTTTGGATTGGGCTGCATGATCCCACTGAGGTGAGTTGCCTTTACTTTCTCAATTTCAGGCCATTGTCACTGAGTAATGGCTTCTTAGCATCACCATTCCATCCTTACTCGAATCGTCTCCCCAGATGTGACTTTGTGACTTTCCCACAATTTTCTAATAGAATCCTCCTCTAATATTGCTGTGGAAGTGGGGAGATGATTAACATATTCAATCCTCCTGGCACACTGGGAATAATATCCCCTCACTCACCCAAGTTTAGGATATTCCGCCATTCTTCAGCAGAGTTTCTTTTTCTTTGAGGAAAATAAGTGGCTCACATAAATGTAAACTAAGCTTGAATAATAAAGAAAACTGTAACAAAAATACAAAATAAGAGAAACTAAATACAACAACATGAGGCAAGTCTGAGTCAAGAAGCGAGAAGAAGCAGCTGGTCCCTCTTAACTGATATTCTTAACGGAACACAGATACTGAAGGGAGGGGCTGATTCCAGAGCAAAACACACAAGCCCCACCCACCAGATACCAAGCACTCTACTATTCAAATTAGGTCCCAGAGTTTTTCTTACAAATACAGTCATACCTTGGTTCTCAAATGCCTTGTGACTCAAATGTTTTGGCTTCCGAATGCCGGAAACCTAGAAGTGAGTTTTTCGGTTTGCAAACGTTCTTTGGAACCCGAAGGTCTGATGTGGCTTCTGATTGAGTGCAGGAAGCTCCTGCAGCCTATGGGAAGTCACGCCTTGGTTTTCAAATGTTTTTGGAAATCGAACGGACTTCCAGAAAGGATTCCGCTAGAGAACCAAGGTACGACTGTAACTCCATCATAACTGGCAATTGCTTCATAACTGGTCAACTCTCCATGTGACCTTTGCATTGAATGTATGATCTGTTCCATCATATTGCTGCAGAAAGGGCATTGGAAGTGGTCGGATGACGAGATCTACGATTACAAAGGCTGGGATTTTAATCGCCCAGACAACTACAACAATGAAGAATATTGTGTGCATCTGCTAAAGGAGACAGGTAAGCAAGCAATTTGTAGGGACTGACTAAAAAAATGCCTATCACTCCATCAGTTTCAAGTATTTCAAAGGGTAGTATCTGATTTTAAAAATCAGAAAAATCAAACTCAAAATACTCTGGTTAGTCATTGCTACTGATGGTCCATTCATTTGAAAAGGTTTACTCTGGGTATTAGTTGATTAGATACACTCTCAGCCTGGTGCTTCTCTGTACTAAGGTTCACAAGTCAATATCTCTGGAGATCTGACCAGAAGTGGTCCTACGTATTGATCCTTTAGGGAAACTTCCAATCATACCATGAAGCAGAATCTTTTTCTGCAGTCAGCCTTCATTCTTCGGTTGCATGTGATCACATATTTTGTTCAGAAAACAGTGGTTGCCAAAGTAAGATCTGGGTTATGCCATCTTATACTCTATCATGTTTCTTAACAAAATGATTAGGCTCAAACAGCATTTAATAATACTAAGAATAATATTCATTCATTCTCTATCTGGGTGTCTCCCAAAAGAATATTAATAGCATGATAAAACATTTAAGACTTTGAAGCCAGGTGATCAGTGAGTGACCTTCATATGTTTGGTTAGTTCTGGGTCACAGCCCTGCTGTGAGTCCTGAAAAGGCCAGACTCACTGGAACAAACTGTGGGAAATGTTTTTAAATGCTTTAAAATAGGTTTTTAATCTGTGGCATTTTAAATTTTGGTTTTTTGTTTTGTTTTTCTCTGTTGGGGGTGGGATAAACATTTAGTTGGGGCTGGGGATTAGTTTAATTTTAGTATAATTGTAATTTGGTTGTTGTTGTTGTTAGCTTCTACTGTTTTATTGGTTCATTGTATAGTTTGTATTCTGTTCTGAAGGAGAGAAGGTCAGGGCTGCCTGGGAGTGGGCCCCAGCCAATAGAATGACTGAGGCAGGTTCCACAGGTGGGGTTGCACTGGGACACCCAATCTCAGTGATCATGGGTAGGAGGAGGAGTTACGCTAAGACCAGACCATGTCATTACTGAGGAGGCAGGTTTAGTCATTGTTTGAAGACTATCCCTGCCTCTGGGTCTGGTCTTGACCGGAAGGATACTGGAATAAACAAGGGAGACCCACGTGACCTGAAGGTGCTGCTGTGCAATGCCAGGTCAATGATTCATAAGACCACTGCCATCCATGACTTGATTGTGGATGGAGGACTTGACCTGGCATGTGTAACAGAGACTTGGTTGGATGAAGCAAATGGCCTGTCCTTGTCACTGCTTGTCCACCAGGTTTCTCTTACACACAGCAACCCAGGTCATATGGGCAGGGAGGCGAGGTTGCAGTGAGTTTTAGGAACTCATTAGCTTGCACCAGGTGTCCTATTGGGAAGACCCAGTTTTCTGAGCGTGTGTTCTGGAAGTTGGACAACAGGATTCCTTTTGGTGTACCGACCTCCCCACTGTACCAAGGATTCCCTGGCCGAGCTGCTTCAGGTCATGGCAGATGGTCTCCTGGAGACACCTAGTTTGGTTGTCCTAGGGATTTTAACATCCATGCTGACACAACCTTATAATGGGCTGCTTGGCACTTCGTGGAAAGCATGGTCTCCATGAGGCTGTCCCTGAATGAATTTGGCCCAACTCATAGTCGCAGACATGTCTTAGACCTGGAGTTCACCTCTATGGATGTGGGTGATGTGACACTAAGAAAAAGCAAAAAGAAAGCAAAAAGAAAGAAGTGCCATGGTCAGATCACTTCCTGGTGTCGTGACCCTTCCCCTCTGCAGGGAGGTGGGACCGATTTGGATCCGCCTCCACCCCACTTAATGGATTCAAATGGTTTGCAGAGAGTGGTGTTGTTGTCTTCCGCTGCCTCCCACTCCTGTCTTCCACTGCCTCCCATAGTTTGGTCAAATTCATGCTGGTAGCTTCAAGAACACTGTCCAACCATCTCATCCTCTGTCATCCCCTTCTCCTTGTGCCCTCCATCTTTCCCAACATCAGGGTCTTTTTCAGGGAGTCTTCTCTTCTCATGAGGTGGCCAAAGTAGGGGATGTTTTATCCCATGTTGATGGCCTTTCAGCTGATTCCCCTCTGGCCCGCTGGAATGCAGAGTTAACCAGAGCTATCGACTGTCTGGCTCCAAAGCGCTCTCTCCAACTGCATGGAGCCTGGCAGCCTCATGGTTTTATCCAGAGCTGAGGGTGATGAAACAATCACTGAGGTGGCAATAGCGCCAGTGGTGGAAATCGGACCAGAAACGGGTTAGAGCTCAATGTCGAGCCTACCAAGTGGCAATAGCGATGGTGAAGAGGTCCTTCTTCACTGCCTCTATTGCATCTGCAGAAAACAGCAGCAGGAGACTCTTTCAGGTGGTTCACAATCTTAACAGAACCACCTTCACCATTGGGGCCTGGTAAAGACCCCAAGATCTCCTGCAATGATTTTGCAACTTTTTTGCAGGCAAAGCCGCTCAGATTCGGAAAGAGGTAGACACCATCATGGGAGCAGGGCTGGGGCAGGAGAGTGCTAGAGTCCTGTCTATTCCAGTTGCATGGGATCAGTTCCAATCTGTTACCTCCGAGGATGTGGACAGGCTGCTTGGATGAGTGAAACTGACCACCTGTCTCCTCGATCCTTGCCCATCCTGGCTCATAAAAGTGAGCCGGGAAGGGCAGGGTGATGGGCTCCGGGGGATAGTGAATGCTTTCCTCTGTGAGCAAGCTTTCCCGGAACCGCTGAAAGAGGCAGTTATTAAATCGCGTCTTTAAAAAACATCTTTGGACATGGCCAATATGGACAACTATCACCCAGTCTCAAATCTTCCATTCTTGGGCAAAGTGACTGAGCAGGTGGTTGCTGAACAACTCCAAGCACGCCTGGAGGATGCGGACCATTTGGATCCCTTCCAATTGGGATTCAGGCCTCATCATGGGACTGAAACTGCCTTGGTCACGCTGGTCAATGATCTCTGGTGGGCTAGGGACAAAGGTGAAAGCTGTTTCCTAGTTCTGCTGGATCTCTCAGCGGCCTTTGATACCATCAACCATGACATCCTTCTGGACTGTCTAGAGGCGCTAGGAGCTGGGGGCACTGTTATATAGTGGTTCTGCTCCTTCCTCCTGGGCCATGTTCAGAAAGTGGTGGGGGGGTGAGTGTTCAGACCCCTGGGCTCTCACTTGTGGGGTGCCTCAGGGTTCTGTCCTCTCCCCCATGCTTTTCAACATCTACATGCAGCCGCTGGGAGAGATCATCAGCGGGTTTGGGCTGGGTGTTTATCAGTATGCGGATGATACCCAGCTCTACCTCTCTTTCAAATCAGAACCAGTGTAGGCGGTGAAGGTCCTTTTTGAGTGTCTGGAGGCAGTTGGAGGATGGATGGCAGCTAACAGATTGAGGCTGAATCCTGACAAGACAGAAGTACTGTTTTGGGGGGACAGGGGGATGGCAGGTGTGGAGGACTCTCTGGTTCTGAATGGGGTAACTGTGCACCTGAAGGACCAGATGTGCAGCCTGGGACTCATTTTAGACTCACAGCTGTCCGTGGAGGCACAGGCCAATTCTGTGTTCAGGGCAGCTGCCTACCAGCTCCATCTGGTATGCAGGCTGAGACCCTACCTGCCTGCAGACTGTCTCGCCAGAGTGGTGCATGCTCTAGTTATCTCCCGCTTGGACTACTGCAATGCGCTCTGTGTGGGGCTACCTTTGAAGGTGAGCCAGAAACTACAACTAATCCAGAATGCGGCAGCTAGACTGGAGACTGGGAGTGGCTGCAGAGACCATATAACACTGGTCCTGAAAGACCTACATTGGCTCCCACTATGTTTCTGAGCACAATTCAAAGTGTTGGTGCTGATCTTGAAAGCCCTCAATGGACTCAGCCCAGTATACCTGAAGGAGTGTCTCCACCCCCATCGTTCAACCTGGGCACAGAGGTCCAGCTCTGAGGGCCTTCTGGTGGTTCCCTCACTATTATTAAAGTCTGAATCCATTTTATTCCCCCTACACATCAGGGAAAGGAATAATAGGCAATAAGAAGTAACTTTCCTTATTTCTTGAATTATAATTTTTGTTTTGAATTTCAGGTTTTAAGAAGTGGAATGATGTAAAATGCAACAACACGTACGCCTTCATCTGCAAGCAATAACTCTAAAGGAGACTTCCCTTCTCCACTGTGTTGGCTGGGAAGCTGCCTTGACATTATATGTATTTCTGCTCTCTCTCATCACTTTCAAAATAGCCATTGCTATAGAGATGCCTCTTCAATTTCCCCCTTCCCTTTGAAATTTTCTTGGACCTGCAGCAGAGCATCAGCTTAATAAATTCTCTTCCATGCATATTTTCCTTATTGCATTGCTGTTCTGCTTTGTCCATCCATACTTACAAGCACGGCCACCCCACCCATGAGGCAAGGTGAAGTTCTTGCCTCAGACGGCAAGCCAGGATGGGTAGCAGATTGGCCTCCTGCTCTTGTTGACTGTCTCCTCCGTCTCCACCAGCCTGCCCTGCTTGCATCCACATTCCCTCCTATAATGCAAGGACATCATAGATGATAGGAGAGACCTGCCCCTGTTACATGGGTGCATTGTGTATGTGCCCTGAGGGAATGGCGAAGAGAATGATGATGAGGGCATTGGCACTGGAAGGCCTTTTCTGGGTGAGTGCCAGCTGCCCACAAGTGGGGACCTGGGGGTGAGTGACAGGGGTGTCATGTGAGCTGGAATTGCATGGGGTGGCAGGAGCTGAAGTCACAGGAGGAGAGAAGCTTATCCTGGCTCTGCCTTTACCTCTTCCACAAACCCAAGTGCTCAATCCCTTCCTGAAGCCATTTACTAGGTACTGGAGTCAGGAACATTGGCATGTTGCTGTTAGTTAGGATAAGCCTGACTTTCAGCATAGCTGACAAGAAAGGCTGTAGAGGATTGGTTCCTCCTTTGCAAGGTGTGTAGTTCTTGGGCAGGCAGGTGAAGCAGGAAAGAACAGCATCCCCTACCATGTAAAGGAGACCCATTGTCTTTTAGACTTCTTAACTATGATTCTTGGGGGTGCAATTTTCTCATTTGCTTCAGTTGCCAGTATGCCTTGGGCTGGCCCTGCCTTGGGGACACTTCTTCTACCATCACCACTGCTCACAACACACAGAGCATTCATACCTCAAAGTAGCTACAAATCCCATCCTAAAGCACACTCATTTTCTCAGAGCTCCTCAGCACGGTTTATACTATGACCAGAATTGTGGAAGCCATAAAGTGAGGATAGGGAAAATTACAGGAGGTCCCCACAGCATGTGACTGTTGAGATACCTCCGGGGAGACGGGGGCAATTGGCAGGCCCCCAGCTGGCTCTAGCCCACCGGCCGGTGGCCGGGCAAACTCCGGTTCTTGGAACAGCATCAAAACTGTGACTCAAGCCTCAGAGACCTTTAGAGACTGAGCACGCAAGCTTGTACGTTACATTCAAGCATTTGCATGCTTCTGGAAATCTAGTGGAATAAACCACAAGTTTAACATTTATTTTTGTGCTGTTTCCTTCGAGGGAAAAAAAGATATGTTTGCAAGCCTGGAATCCACTTGCAAGTCTGGAAGTCTGTTTAGGGCTATGCACCACCTGAGGCCATGCAAGTTGCTCCACAAGTGCCTTTCACAAAAGAAAGATGTTTGCAGAGCATCACACACAGAGACAGACACACACAGACAGACACACCAGATCGACTGTTCAACAGTTTGCTCAATGGGCATAGATGAAGCTCCACTAGAAGACTTTCTTTTAGAAAAACTGCTTGCAGAGCACTACTGGTGTGAATAAAATTGAGCTGGACATGGCAGATTACAGATGCATGAGCACATGAGAAAACAGGATAAAAGCACTGGCTTTTTGATCAGTAAAACTAATGAATTAAACTCCTTGTGTTCGGGCTGCCCAAACAGATTCCCAGTCTAATAGCACAGAGGGTTGTTAGACTGATTTTTGGGCTGCTATGCAAAGGTCTTCAAACTCAAATGGATCTGTCTCTGAGGTTCTTACACATAGTCTCATACCATGTGGCAAGCAGACTGATACTGTGCATTGTATATCTTTTGAATTATGAGCCCCTCTTCCGGCTACACAAATTAAAGATGCTCATGTCTGGCCTTGTCTCGGTGTCTCTGTCTCTAGGCAAAAGGACAAAACAGTGCATGCTGGCAATCTTGTAAGGCCATTTCACCCATTACACAGTAGCAAACCCAGCAAAGGGAAAGCCCTAGGTTGTCCCTCAATGGGGTATTTTTCTCTATAATATGTATATTATATCCTGAATGCAACCCAAGATCAGAGGGGAAACCAGAGAGACCAAGTCTACTATGTCTACCTGTCAGGTTTCAGGGAATCCGATCCCCCCTCCCTCATGGCTGGCTGCCAGAAATGGGAAAACAAGGTGTTCTTACCAAGATAATTTATTCAATATTCACAGAGACATAGGATGTCGCCTCTCAGATAATGGTGTTGCTCCAAATAAGTCCCACCCCTCCGTCTCTCCTATTATACATCATTCCTACATCAGCTAATCTGTGTGTTCTGCCTCTGAGCTTTCTGTTCTCCTACTCTCAATGCCCACCGGGACCTGAGAGGGGAGTTCAGGAATGCTTCCTAAAGACACTGAGTCTGTCAGCTGTCTCTCCCCTAGTTCTTTTTCCTCCTCCTGCTTGTCATCCAGTATCTCCCAGCTTCTCCCACTCTTCTAAATCTATGTTGTCTCCTCTTGGAAGGGCAGAAGAAGGGGGGAGCGGTCTCATTCCTCCTCAGTCCAGTCTCCTAGGACCTCCCTGACTCCAACAAGACTGTGTCCAGAGGTGATCATCTGTGCTCTCCCCCTTTACATTTTCTATCACTTAATCATTGTCATGAGGGCAATGTAAACTTTTATTTGGGAGACAGAGTGTCTCAAAGACAGAGTATCCTCTTGCAACTTATGACTCTTCAGGACATTCAGATAACTAAAGCTAGAGCAAGAGGATTGATATGCAAGCTGGCATATCCAGTGATAACTAGAAGGTGGGTGGAAGTTGTTGCGCTTGTGCTAGGCTTGCTTTGAGTAATCAAAGGGAACCACATAAACCACAGGTGGTTCCTGAATTACCATGGAATATGTTGGGTGTAGATGCACTTGAACATGGCTCTCCCCCTTTTCTTCTTGTGGTTGATGATTTTCAATATTGAGAAACATCAAGGCTGCCTTGGAAGATGGCAGTAACTGTGACTGTTAAGTTTAAAGTCAGATTACCAGATTTTTTTTTTCAATGAATCCAGGGACACTTTTCAACTTCCTACTAAATAGATGGATTTTGTCAGGGGACTGATTTGTAAATCCGGGGACTGTCCCTGAGAAACGGGAACATCTGGTAACCTTAGTTTAAAGCTATGTTCATGGGTCATGGAATTCCTGGGATAGCTGTGTGTGATAATATGCCCTTCACTAAGAGTGTCGACTGTTTGCTCATGATTGGGGGTTTGAACACAGCTTTAGAAGCTGTTCATCTGGTGGCAATTTCGTTTTTTAAACAAAACCAAGCAACTGAGACTGCTAGAAACTTGAGATGGTGACCGGACAGTCAAGTCCACCCAAGCTAGGGCTGGGGGCTCTTCTCCTTACAAAGCATATTAAGGGAGTTCGCTTTATCCATCTACGCTACCCAATGCCCTTTCTACCACAAGAGTGTTTGCTGCCCATCCCAGCTACCTTTAAAAGGACCAGCTGCTGCCTTGCCCAGCCTCCTTCCTCCTTTTCCTCATGTAGAGGAGACTTACCCATTTCTCCCTCCCTTCCTCAGTTTAGAGGCTCTCTCTGGGGCTTGTAGTCGCCACCGGTTATCAGAGCCAGAAAGGAATTTAACTCCCAACAACAGTTGCCTCTAGGCTGAAATTTGTTTTGCTATTCTTTCAGTGAGTAGCAGGAGTTTTACTAGATAACTCTTGTTCTTTGTCAGAACTTGGTGGAAACTGCTGGGTAGACAGCTAAAGGGCAACCCCTTTAAGAGGCCTTGAGAGGTGAACAACCCCTGGTTTTAGCTTGGACTGGGCTGGGCTGGTCGCTTGGCCACCTCAAATTTCCAGCACTCCCAGTCACTTGCTTTTATACCATTCCTGGGCCCTTAGTGCTGGATAATGTTCCCAAGGAATGTCCTGGAAGGTGTGCCAGGAAACCCAGCAAGATGGGCAGGGTATAAACAAAATTAGTAGTTGTATAGTCATCGTTGTAGTAGTCTTGGTTTCTGCCCTCATTTAGACCATTATATGGGCTGCCAATGCCTACACAGCAACATTATGTTAATGTTTTAAGTATTTTTTAAGAAGTGCTTGTACTCAAAACCCTTTGCAGTTGTTTTTCAGGTGTGAATTTCTTTGGAAATTGGGCATATAGGTCTTGGGGAGTAGATAACAGCAATGTCAGTTAAGCCTGCCAAATGATAAACCTGAAGCAACAGAGCCTTGGAAGGTTTTTATTGTCGTTGTTGCTGGGAGGTTTTAAAGGGCCATTATTACCCTTTGCTCAAATAATGGTGCCTACATTTGCAGACCACCTGAATGAAGCTCACCAATCAAGGACCACCATTTGGGAACCCCTACTGGGGACCATTGTGTTTTTCTGTTCTGCCTTTAGCCAAAAGAACACAAATGCAACAGACAGCAACATTTCCACTGATGTGTTGTTTTTCCCAGTCCTAACTGGAAATGCCAGGAATTGAACCCAGAACCTTCTGCATGGAAGACACATGCTCTGCCACTGAACTACTGTCCTTTGTAGGCATGGGGAGAGACAGAGAAAAGCGGTGGGATTAAATTTGGATTGTGGGTGGAAGAAAATGAATTTTGAGCTGGGTAAGAGGCATGGAGAAGGAGAAAGCCCCAGTTTCCAGTTTTAAAGTAATCTTTACTTTAAAGTTCTGGTATCTCAGTAAGATAAGCAAGATGAGAGTTTGGTAATGTCTCCCTGAAGCCATCCTGGTATAGCAACAATGCTTGCTCTCGCACAGAGATGAAGAAGCCGTAGAAAGCAAGAAAATGAACAGGGTGCCTCTAACGTTTCTTTGTCACTAGGTGGCAGCAGAAAGCAAGGATTGAATTCTGTGTTGGTTGGGGAATCATCAAGAATGTTGATCAGTATACAAATATGAACAGTTGCATTTCCACAAATAAGTGCTGTGCTTGGTTCATTTCATTCACAAAACCAGGTTTTAAAAACCAATTTCTCTATTTATGAAAACAAATGGACTGACATTTTTATTTTTATTTTTGCATGCCGCATCAGAGACAATAAAGTCAAGATTGGAAGTGGGGGGTATATACATTTTAGACCAGGAGTGTGGGGGGGGTGTTTTATCAGCCTAGGGGGCCACCGTTCCTTCTGTTCAAGCTTCCAGGGGCTCCTTGCCAGCAGTGGGCATAGCAACAAATAAAAATCTTATCTTTGTGTTGTAGGTTATTTTCTACACACTCGTTGTTGTTGTTTAGTCGTTTAGTCGTGTCCGACTCTTCGTGACCCCATGGACCAGAGCACGCCAGGCACTCCTGTCTTCCACTGCCTCCCGCAGTTTGGTCAGACTCATGTTTGTAGCTTCGAGAACACTGTCCAACCATCTTGTCCTCTGTCGTCCCCTTCTCCTTGTGCCCTCCATCTTTCCCAACATCAGGGTCTTTTCTTGGGACTCTTCTCTTCTCATGAGGTGGCCAAAGTATTGAAGCCTCAGCTTCAGGATCTGTCCTTCCAGTGAGCACTCAGGGCTGATTTCCTTCAGAATGGATAGGTTTGATCTTCTGGCAGTCCATGGGACAAAAGCATCAATTCTTCAGCGATCAGCCTTCTTTATGGTCCAGCTCTCACTTCCATACATCACTACTGGGAAAACCATAGCTTTAACTATACGGACCTTTGTTGGCAAGGTGATGTCTCTGCTTTTTAAGATGCTGTCTAGGTTTGTCATTGCTTTTCTCTCAATAAGCAGGCGTCTTTTAATTTCGTGACTGCTGTCACCATCTGCAGTGATCATGGAGCCCAAGAAAGTAAAATCTCTCACTGCCTCCATTTCTTCCCCTTCTATTTGCCAGGAGGTGATGGGACCAGTGGCCATGATCTTAGTTTTTTTTTATGCTGAGCTTCAGACCATATTTTGCGCTCTCATCTTTCACCCTTATTAAGAGGTTCTTTAATTCCTCCTCACTTTCTGCAATCAAAGGTTGTTGATATTTCTTCTGGCAATCTTAATTCCGGCTTGGGATTCATCCAGTCATACAAACACCCTATCTTCCTTCCAACAACAAATTTATTAAATTTGTGAGGTCCATGCCTTTACACAAAATACCATAAAACATTATTAAAAGATAAACCAAAAAGATTATAAAAGTAAGCTAAAATTCATGCCATGTTGTCCCAGCAAGGAAACTACCCAAAAAAACCCCACCATTCAAGGAAGAAGGTACAGCAACAGGTTAGGAGAGCAATGGGAGGGACCTCACCGTTTCATCCAGGAACCATACCCTAGTTTTCATAGCCTTCACCACAAAGACCGCTACCACGTGAGAAATCCGTGGATCAGCGTCTACCAGTAAAAACTTTACTTGGTCCTCAGAGTTGACTATTGATTTAGGAATAGTTTGTAACATCGCATCCCTGAAGGCCGAATAGATGGGACAATACAACATGTAATGTATGAGATCCTCTTTGGTTCTCATATAACAAGGACATATCCGCTGCTCTACTGGGATTTTTGCATATCTGCCTGACAGATAGGCCGTAGGAATGGTTTGAAAACGGGCCATAGTAAAGGCTCTCCGAAGAGTGGGATTGGTGATATTCGCCAAGTAGTTGGCGCATATTTTGACTGCTTTCAGTCGGGGAAGCCAGTGGGAGGACCCTGGGATCTGTATTTTTGTGGTATCTAACAGAGCGTCTCTCTCCAGGATCCATTTCCGGACTTTGTCCGGGCTCCACCGTTTGAGGATATTAAACTCCGGTAGGGTGTATCTAACCAGGATCTCAGATAAGTTTTGGCGCCAAGTGGTATTCTTTTGAAAAGATACGAAGGCTTGTTTGGCCAATAAGGTGTTTGAAGAGTTTGCAAGGTTGATGTAAAATCGTAGGAATCTTAAGTGGGCCCTGGCAGACACAGAGGGTAAACCAACCTCCACCCTCAAGAAGGCTGCTGGGGTTCCTTGAGGAAGGCCTAGAATCTTCTTGAGATAGTAGTTTTGCAAAATTTCAAGCCGTTCCAACAGCCTCTGGTTCCACCCCCAGAGTTCTATCCCATATAACATCTGGGGAATAGCTTTCCCAACGAAAGCTCTTAATGCCGGGATCACCAATTGTCCTCCCCTGGTATGGAAGAAACTAAGCAAAACACCAATTGTTCTTCGTGTTAGGATGGTTACAGCCTTAAAGTGGGCTAGCCAGCTAGATGTAGCCTGGAATGTAACACCCAGATATTTAAAAAAGGGCACTGTTCAATCACTTGTTCATCTAAAGACCATCTAAAGGTGTGGCGAGCTCTAGTAAACACCACAATTTTTGTTTTATCATGGTTTATCTTTAGTGAATTATGGGAACAGTAGGCTGCGATCCCCTCCAGCATGCTGCGTAAGCCTCTTCGGGTGAGTGCCATTAAAACCATGTCATCGGCATATAGCAAAATATTCAGGCGTTTACCTTCAAGGGCTGGAGCCGATGACTTGTACTTTGCCATGTACTGGACAATATCGTTTATATAAAAGTTGAAAAGAAATGGGGCTAGCAGGCATCCCTGTTTGACCCCTTTCCCCAATGGCAGTGGGTCCGTAAGAGTTCCCGATGGCCCAGTTCTGATTTTGACTGTAATGTCTGTATGTAACTCTCTGAGAATTTTTAAAAGTCGTCTGTCAATGTCCGTTTCATATATTTTTTCCATAGTCTATCTCTACAGATTGAGTCGAAGGCAGATGTCAAGTCTACGAAGGCCACAAAGAGTCTGCTCTTATACGCTTTTGCATATTTAGCTACCAGGGTCTGTAGTACCATACAGTGACCTATCGTATTGTGGCCCTTTCTAAATCCTGCCTGTTCCTGGTTGAACAGGTTAGAATGGTCCGCCCAATCTACCAGCTTGTTTAATAGGTACCGGGTATAAAGTTTGTATGCGATGTCCAGAAGGCTTATAGGGCGGTAGTTTGCTGGATCTTGAATGTCTCCCTTCTTATAGATAGGGACTACCACACTTAGTTTCCAATTTGCTGGGATTTTACATGTGTTGTTCATTGCCGTAAAAAGTTTGGCCAAAAGATGGCCCACCATTGGGCATTTAATTTAAAAACCTCAGGGGGGATCATGTCCTCGCCAGGAGCTTTGCCATTTTTTAAAGTTTTAATTAGCTGTAGGCACTCTGATTCCGTAACAGGATCCCAACTAACTAGATGCTCATTCTTCAATGGGAGGAGCGGACTCAAATTAGCAGTATTTGAGAGTGTGTATAGCTTGAGAAAGTGTTGATACCACACATCGGATGGAATACTGCTGTTTACAATTTTTCCTTTGGATGAGACTCCCTGTGCTACTATTGCCCAGAATTTTCTATCGTCTCGCGATTTAATCGCCTTATCAAGTTCCTCCCATTGTTTCTTCCTGTAAAGGGATTTCTTGAGTTTTAAGGTGTATTTATAGTGAGAGCGCCATCTGTGGAAATTTACCATAGATGACAAAGTCCTCTCCTGTTTTACCTTATTTTGTTGTTTCCTAAGCAGGGATCTTAGCTTCCGGCAGTCTTTGTCAAACCAGGCCCCCGATTTGTTATGTTGTATGGGAGGCCTGGTGTTTATAAGAAATGGGAAAAGGGACTCTGAGACCCGCTGATATAGTGAAAAAGGATCAAAGTTAGGTAAAGGACACTGGTCTCTCAGAACCAATAGATCTGGAGAGTGCAGGTGTTGATTAATTTTAAGCTCCAGCTCGCTGTTCCATTTACGCCTGCGTGGGGCCGGTGCTTGAGGAGGGGCTGCACAATGTAGATGTTGTAATCCCCTGATTCAAGGGGAGTTAGTGAGATTGCTCTAGGAAGATGGTCGCTCTCAGTTCTATTAAAAGTGCTGAGACCCTGTACCCTCTCCAAAATTGTTGGAGAGACCAGGATATGGTCAATCACACTTGCACCACGAGGGCCGATAAAAGAGAAGAAACCTCCTGACCTGTCCATGTAAGTACCATGCAGGTTGTACAGATTATGCTTAAAAGCAATCTCCAGTAATGTAATACCTGCCTTGTTCAAGACCTTTTCATCAGAACTCCAAGGGATAAGCCAGTCTGCCTCTGGTAGAAACTGGGTTTTGGAGCCATACGAATTGATGTCGCTGCCTATCCTGGCATTAAAGTCACCTGCCAGCAGGATGTTCCAGTCAGGGAATTCTATTTTGGCCTTCTCCAAGCATGACTCCAAATCTTCCCAGATTTGTACTGTCTGAGAGGAAGTACACACGGGGGATATAGACGTTGAAACATAGAAGATCTCCTCCTGTGTTATTGGAGATAAGTAAAATCTGAAAATTGTTGTTCTTCATCCACTGCAGTTGTCGCACCCTGTACCCTTGCTCTATAGGAATAAAAGTGACCAAACCGCCGCTAGGTCGGCCCCGGTTATTTAGTTTTTCGCAGGGGTAGCAAAAGCCGCATAGCCCTGTAAGTAAGGGGGATGAGAGTCTAGGCACCAGGTCTCTTGTAGACAAATAATCTGGAATTTTGAGAGAAAATCCAGAAAATCAGCAGCGCCCTGCTTAGACAGCCAGCCCGCCACATTCCACGATAAGATGTGAAAATATGGTGGTGAGGGGAACAAAGGTAGACTTCTCCGTTTGTTCTTTAGGATGATGGAATGAATGTTTTTGTAGAGGTGGAGTGAGCTGTTGGTATCCTTTGTGGTAGGTACTAACCTAGTGAGTTTTGTTTCACTGGCGTGGTGTCCCCTCGCTGTATCTGTCTTTCAATCCTCCACCTGAATGCCATCTAAGGATCCTGAGGCATCCACAAAGATTGAACCGTTCCTACTCATCGGCATGGCAAGGTCTACCTGGTGTGTTGTTGTTTGAGGTGTTAAGGGTTGTGTGGGAGAACCCACTTCTTCGGGGGACAGGAACCGGCACTGCGTCCAGTCTTCGTTGGATAAGGGCTTTGTTGTGTTAGTAGCAAAATTAAATTCCAAAGGAGCAGAAAAACCTTGGCGGAATAAGGATTTTTAATGGTTTGTCACCTAGCTATTAACGCATCCTGGGACTGTTGAATTGGCTCAAGGGAGGCTAGAAAGAGCGTCTCCTTTTCATTTAAGATATCTTTTTGGGTTCATTGGAAGGGAGTAAAGTTTTTGGAGCTTAGCCTTCTGTTTGGAAATTTTGACTGCCTCCGGTTGACCTTGTTTGCAGTTTTCAGAAGCCATTTCCAATTCTGTGCGCAGACTAGTCGGCTTACGTGTTCCTAAGAGGGATGGTGGAACGCCGGACTCTTCAAAAAGGCGGGTCACCAACAGGCCAGCCCTCTGGAGCCTGTCCCTCTTGTCCATGATTTGTTTAGTTACCGACCAGTCCTTAAAGGTCACCACAACTCTGTTTTGGGCCATATCAAAAGGAAGAAATTTAACGCTGACAATATTTCCTGCTGGTATAAGGCCTCTGATGACTAAGTCAATTTTCTTAAGTAAATAAATTCTCTGTTGTGCAAGCGTGGAAAGGCCTCCATGCTTGAAGAGAGGGAGGAGGACTAATTTATGTTTAATTAAAATTAAGTTCTGGCTCTTTTGTACTCCCTTCTGGGGAGTTTCTTGCTTTGGATCTGGAGTTTCCTTTAATTTTCCACTAGAGGGCAGCGATTGTTTTGCTAGCCTTGGAGGGCTAGCCACCTGATGTATATTTAAAATGTTTGGGCTTTGGCTCTTATTTGGCGTTGTTTTGTTGGAGTTCTTTGTGCTTGAGTTCTCCAGAATCTTGAATAACTTTGAGAAATTCACTTTCCCAGTCCGAGAGGGCAGCTTAGCCTTTCGACCCATTTTCACATTCTTCGGCTTCTTCTTATGCATTGGGCTCTTTCCCTTTAAGGAAGGTTTCCTAGTGGCCAGTACTTTTCCTTGGGCTAGTTTGGCTCTGCTTGTTTTCCTTTCTTTGGTGTTGGACTGGGTTTTATTTCCATTTGGCTTGTTGATGGCTTCTTTGTGAAAGTGGCAATCCTCTTTCCTCCTGATTAGTTCAATCAGGGAGGTGAGCAAACCCAAACATTCTGAAAGAAAGTTTTTAATAGGCCCCAGTTCTTTAATTAGCTGAGTTTGATGTTCTTCCAACAGATCTTTGTACAGCCCTGTCATTATGTAATTATAGCTGCCCAGGTCTGGATGTCGAGCTCTTGTGTCGTTTAGCCACTCCTCCACCTCTGTCGGGGCAGGGGACCCCCCCTTTCCTCTAAGCATAGGTTGATGGGTGGATTCTTTTGACTTGGTTTCTGGGTCTCCCAGCTGAGGCTCCTGTTCTGGTCGGGCCTCAAGGGCTGTACTTTCTGTAGTTGCCTGTGCCAACTCGGTTGCCAGGTCAACTCCTTTTCCTCCTCCTCCCTCTGCTTCCATGCCCCTTCTGAACGAGATACGGTCGACAGACCATTCGTGCGGATGCAGGCTCTCTATGTTTTTATTTCTTTTCACTTCCTCTGCTTTTGGTTTAAAATAATATGGAATTTTTGCCTGCTTTTTCTTTGGGGCAGGGGGTTCAACAGCTTGTGCTTGAGCTAGAGGGATCCCCAGTTCTTTATAATTCTGTCTTGTAAGAACCATTTAAGTTATCTTCTCTAGCCGTGTGCTAGGGCCTTATTCAACAGGAGCTCAAAGGTTGTAATTAGCCTCGAATAGGGGAGGAAAGGGGAGGATTTAAGAAATACCTCCTGGTAACTCCCGGATTCTTTTATCAGGCTAAAACTTTGATTTTTTCTGAATGTCTTTCTGTATTATTGTAATTATTCTGTAAAAGCTCCTACTCACTCTGTTGAGGCTCACAGGAGACTTACTGCCGGCGCCATCT